AGATAGGAGAGGATTATTGATGATCCATTGGCTGTGATGATTCATTGGATCTTGTCTTCTTTTTGTGTCACTTGGGCTTTGGCATAGCACTTGGGGTGAAAGTAGTTATCTTATCTGAACCCCCTGCCAGCTATCTCCCAGAACAGCACGACCTTTAATCACCTGTCACAGCTGCTGTCTGCAGTAACTCCAAGGAAGCTGATAGTGTAGTTCTAGATTGGATAGAATGATGGTAAGTTACAAATATAAGTTTTTATTATATTTGTCAGATATGATATTCTTGCCATAGGTCTACAAACAAGGGAGGCATTGTTTGATAGATAAAAGGGTTAAATATGTAAAGAAATCCATAATTCCATAAAGAAATGAATGTGGCCTGTAATATTGATTATGCCCGTTTAAAAAAAATTATATATAGAATAAATTCTTGAGTTATCAGTAAAGTTGATCATTTTCAGTATTAAGAAAAGTAGAGGAGGTGCACTAAGTAAAATGAAACTTTTTTTGTGGATAAGAACGACTTAGTTCAGTTTGATATCTGGCAGAAATTTGAATAATTTACCAACATGTATGTGAATTCTGCTACTTGATCAGTAACATCTGGAGGCAGATGTATTGGCTCAAATGTTGGTGCAGCTTTGTTTTAGCAGCCTGTTCTCACCCACAGCGTTTTACTTTCCCCTGACTGATCCAAGGATTCACAGGATATAGAAGGACAATTATTCCTTTGGCACAGCACAGCACTACACATTTAAATGTACACTAGTTCTGCTTAATCACTCGTAGCTCTCTCTTTCTTTTAGCGACTTTCTCACTAATTCCACTGTTGTTCACATACTATTCATATCTGCTAGTTACTTTAGCTTAGCAGTAAGTGATGGCTTTTCTCTCTCTCTCCTTCTCATTCTCCTGCTCTCTTTTGCTTGGTGTGTCTCGGCTGAACAAATGAACTTTTTAACAAGATTGTTGTGTTTTTGCAACTTCAACGTATAGAGGACTGTGATTTTTATGACAGTATGTGCTGCCTTACCGTCTAGCTTGTGCTCATCTGTGAACACAGATGCCTTCAGTGTTGATGTCTGTTGGTGCTACAGAGTGCTGCAGGAAAGAGCCCTAAAACCTGCAAATTAGTTAGCATTTTAGCATGTAGCTAATGTAAAAATCCCATTGGATTTTGTTGAGGGAACCAAGGTAATGTTAACTTAATTCTCATTGTTTGGCTGCTGGCTCTGTAATAGTGTGTGTTTGTAGGAATACAAACGAACCAGTTTTGGTCTGCTCTTTTGCTTCTGCCCTTTTGTTCGCCACAGAACTGACATGGTCAAATACATGCACCTTTTAATTTTGTGAAGTGTAACTGAAGACTCACTCATGCATCACCCTCTGTGTCCCTCATAGTGACCCCAGGTTACTCTTTTCATTCTTACAAACCGCACTGATAAATTGAGTACCTGTTCCTTTCGATCTCCGCTGAGAAATGAATGTTAGACAATGTTGAGAAAAAGCTTTTAAAAGCACGGAACCAGTCTCTGCAATTATTTTCTAGTTTTATAATTCCGAGGTTAAAATCATTCACTGTTCTTCATTGCATATTCCCTCACTTGTCTTTGAAGCCTGCTGACGCCCACTGAGGGCATTATGGTTTTTACCTTCATGGTTCACTAATAATTGAGTCGTCTTATGCAGATCGGCCAGTGAAGGAATCTGACAAGAAACTCCTTTGAAAGTACAGTTCCCTGTGAATACAGAATCACACATACAGGAGATGGAAGGATAATTATTGCAATTGATGATTCCCTTTCATAAATATTCTTCCATTTATGTGAAAGTTTCCACTGTTTGTGTCAGTAAGACCTTTTGTGGGCACGTTGAAACTTTTATTAACAATGTTATACTTGTTGAATCGTACAATAATCACAGTGAAAAAGACCTTGTTCCTGGTTGAACTGTTTAGTCACATATTTCACTCTGACGTAAGATTTTGTAGTTTTGGCAGCATGACCTCATTTAGACTGGAGAACAGTCAGTCACTGAAATTGGCTGCCCCAATTTTGCCAGGATGATTCTCCTCACTTTGATTGTAGTTGAATGCGGGCTGATGCAGTATCAAATACATTCAGGCACATTGACAAACTGAAGCTCATGAGAGAGAGTACATTTTTCCACTGTTCTTATTTTTTTCAAGAGGCCATTTCTTGCTGATCACACGGCAAGAAAGTTGTGCATGACAAACCGAATTTCGCTTTGCAGATACATGCAGAAAAGATGTGTTCCATTTAGCCCCACTCAAGTTATTTGGGAAACCATGAAATTGTGAAGCTGTGGTCAAGCGACAGTGACAGTGTAGACCATAAACATCCCTGTGTGTTGTTTGTTATAGCTGATGCAGCAGTAAGAGTGAAGTTTTTATTGTTAAACACTCACAATTCAAGGTTCAAGGTTCAAGGTAATCCTTATTATCCGCCGAGGGGCCATTTGTTGCTCAGCTAGCAGTAAATAGATATAATAAATATAATAATCACAATCAACACAATCGGTGTCAGTCAGTTGATTGAATCAGTTCTCCTCTTCCTCAGTTTATTCAGCCGTGTTCTGAGCTCTTTCCCTTTTCCTTCATCACAGCTCAGCCATGAGGTCACATAGCTGCCATGAAGTATGTAAAGTGTACAACGCAGAGACAGTGAAGTGAAGTGATGCTGGAGGACGAGACAAAATCTGTCAGTTTGTTTTGTGAAAAGAAGCTATGGTGCTACAGTTTACTATAGATAGGACTGTAATATGCCTGTGTTATGACAGACTAGCTCCTTGGACTTGCCCTGCCTAAGACTTTTACTGCACTAAACACTCTTAACATGTTGGGTTACTGTCTGCTGTAATTGCAGTGTATGTACAGTATTCTCAACAGGGGAGCTGGTTGGTGTCAATTTGTCAAACCTGAAATTAAATAAATGTGTTAACAAATGTATTTAAAAAAAAAAAAAAAAAAATTCATCAGCACCATACCTTCCATTCGTGCCAAACAACCCACTTTAACAAACACTGCTGATAAAGTGAGTTTTCATCTTGACAAAAGTGATAACATTGTCGTATCAAATAATTGCAGAAATTTTGCCATGTTTTGTTGTCAGTACTACTCATACATATGGACTGATCAGCGCAGATTTTTGCAAGTGCTCGTGTGCCAATTCTGGGAGGTCTGCCAGGCAGCATACGGCATGGATGCTTTCTCTCAGAGGGACAAAACGGAAATGACAAGGCAATCGCCATTCTGTCAGCGTTGCCATGGTAGCACAGGCACAGCTGTTTATCCCAAGGTTAATGGGATGACACCTGGAACTGAAAGTACCATATTGAGAGAAACATGTGCCTGTTTTACTTAAAACAAGTAGATAACAGAGAGTGGTGTCATATCACACAGAAGAGAGCCCAGAGCAGGTCGGATTAACAAACCGAATGAACATTATAAACATCACTCATTCTACTTCTGGCCCAATGCAGGAAGGAATGATTGAATTTCTCAAAAACCTAATGCAGATGTGACGTTTTGTCATCGGACTCATCGGACTGCTGCCATTGATCAAAACATGTGAAAGGGTTTGAGAACAGTGAAAATGTCAGGTAGCTTCTTTTCCATTGAACACATTGTTTGGCAAATCATAAAGTGGAAGTAGTATGCGTAAAAATGCAGAAACTGATAAAAACTGTTTTCAGAACCATGAATTTTTTGAAGGCCCAGGGATAAATGTAGGCTTATGGTTATTTTAGAATCAAACCTGCTTAAATCCATCTCATTTTGTATGTTGCTGCTGCCACATTTCTGAAACGCTCTGAGTTGACCTGCTGCCTATAGTATTCATATTAATGTGAAAACATCCTGTATACACACATGCAAACGCAACATTGTGCGAATCCTTCAAGGACATCAGACGACACAAACGAGCCACTTTTCACTCATCTCTTGCAATTAGAAGCTGTCGCTGCTACTGTAAACAGCTGACAAGATGAATCAGTCTATAATGTTTATTTGGCACTTTTTTTCCATCAGAGTCCCTTCATTTTTCCATCTGGTTCCCATCACGATCCAACTTGAATATATTCCACACAGGGTTTTGTACAGGGGTTACAGAAAATAACACAAACAAGTAACACCAACAGTATATAATGCGATCCACCAAAAAACAGCACGAGCTAATGCCTCAGAAATAAAGTAATCACACCTTGCTTTCACAGTTTCCACAAATATAGAACATTACAAGCTCTACAAAGGTAGGATTTGTTGCAGTGCTGTTCTGTTGTGTTTCCATACACCTTTCAATTGTTAGTGATATCGTATCTAACCTCCGTGTGTGTCTTTGTTGAAAGTACAGATGATGCAAACAGAAAAAAATCAGCTAATCTTATTACCTTTAGGTTAAAACAAATGTGCTTCGTCTTCAGTATTATGACTATGTTTCTGCTTTGTTACGTATCATTGATAATACGCTTTTGAATTTTATGCTGACAGTCTTCTCTTTAGTCATACAACACCAAACAATCACATCTGCAAGCTGCTCTGTACAATTACAGTTTGCTACCGCTGGGCATTTTGTGTGGAACAGCTGGGCATCAAGTACCATGGTTAAAGTTATAGTTATTGTGGAACTGGAGACAGTTTCTCCTTTTATTTTTCCAACCTACAACTGGTCGCAAGGTTCAAACAAACACATTTGTAATCATAACGACAGACAGCTACTGTACGAGCATGATTATCACACCGAATTGCCATTTTGATTCACTTCATTCACTCCTTTTGAATCACCGCACATCACAGATGCGAGAGGTGATTCAGAGATCTTGAACCAGGCTAAGTAACTGCTATGGAGGAGATGAATTTCCCCTGCAACAATGGTTACTGATAAATTCTGATAAATGTTGTGATATTCCTGGAAGGCGAGGTGTAACACCAGTGTACTTCATCCAACTCTGTCCATCATAAGTATATAAAACTATCAGTATCCTGCATGAATGACCTGATTGCTCCAATAAATGAGTTTCGCTCCGAGAAGTGTGTCATGCAGGCGATTGTGTGTGAGCTGTTCTCTCGGAGACGCATGCTGAATGTAGCTGCAAATGTGGCAGGTAATGCTTTAGAAAACACATACTTATTTTAAATTTGTTCACCTCAGCCTTACAGAGTGGCAGGGCTGCAGTGGAAAAGGCGTAACCACTAGGATTATAGTCATTCTGATGGACGGCAATGAGACAGATTAATCGACTGCTGTGCAACCCTCACTTATCTGATTTTAGTGCTGCTCCTCCCTTTCTGTTCTTGAAAGGCAGAATTATCTCTCTAGCAGTAAATGAGATGTAATGTGTGTTTGAATGGAAAATTAGCAAAAGATTACACTTTTCTTGTTACACTTTGAATAAAAGTGACCTGTGAAACACTTGAGTGGCCTCAGCACACTAAACTCACTACGTCATGTGTTTCTGAGGTCAGAAAATGACATTTTTGTTTGTTTGATGATTTTTATGTCATAGCTCTGTTTGTTTTTGCAGGGCCAACCAATGATAAATGTAGGGATGTTTCTTTTAAAACATCCTTTCATGTTTTGAGTGAACATCTAATCTGTCTCCACACAGCTGACCCCTGGAATTTGGTGTTGTTCTGAGATATGTCAGTCAAGTTTTGTGACACCCTATATATCTCAGTAGCATCGGAGGAGGTTTTTGTAGTTTGCCACAATTCACTCAAGAGGAGAAAGAAGAAAAGCAAGAAAATAGGGGTTGAAATTGCCCACTGGAGATCCAGGATATTTCTCAGTGTTTTATATTGTTGTTAGCCCACATAGCGCACTTTGTTGGTTAGGGACATGGCAAATGTTTGAAGCAACTGCAGGCACTGTTTTTCAGAAAGCTCTGCCAAAGAGAATATATATTTTCTGCAAACCCAAATGGGATGGAAGTTAGTCAAAACCAATTGTACAACTGCCTCGAGTGTGTACTACTTTATCAACAATATTTCCCAGAACTGTATGAATGTACAGCTTACCCTACAGAGTTTTAGTATGTGCTTCAATATTTGTCCTAGAAACATTCAGAGACATTTACTTGAATTTACTGGAACTGTGTGGGCATTCCACATTGCACGTCGCAATGTTGATTAATACATTTTATATCCAAACAATACTGGATTTATTTTAGACCAATACTGATATCAAGATTTGGGATTACAAATAATCTGATAATGATGTATTGACCAATAGTAATATATATATATATATATTTTTTTTTTTTTTTACCTTAACACATGACATAAAATAATCAGGATACAGATCCAGGTTTTGTTTTACACTTGAATGAACACATGAATCAACTTTTCAGTCCAGTGGACAAACGATGTGATGTTGACACAATTGTTTCTAAAATCCCTCAGACCTACTTTAGCATTTCTTTTTCTATTTCAATTACTATTGGCCAACATGTACACCAATACAGATATCTAGCTGCGATAAGCTACTATTGGCCGATTATACACACTGATGTGCATTGGTTTTGCCTCTATGGCCTTAGAGTTAAGATAGAGATTTATTTCATTGTAAGTCCTTTATCCAATAAAATAGTGCCAGAATTAATGAACGGATATCCATGTTCAGTAAGTTATGACATAGAAAGTGAGAAACAAAAGCAAAACGGGTCAATTTTCTTTTGACTTTAAGCTGAATGGAAAATAATTGTGAGTTGGTATTGAATGTTCCATATTGAACAGAACCAAGCAACATTGGAATCCCACTACCGTCCCCTTTCTGACCCCCTTGTTTGGGATTTAGCCAAAGCTAATACCTCCCTCTCTTTTGCTTGTTAGATCTACGACTTTCTTCATAAGCTCTCCCATATTGATTGGGTTGTTGATTCTCAGTGAGGTAGCAGGGCGTTTACATGACATGACAGGGTGTGATTGGCTGCTGTGTTGGTATAAAAAATATTGCTTCTATCGCAATCACAAATCGAATGGAAAGGAAGAGAATAGATTTTTTTTTTTTTTTTCCACATAAAGGCTTAACAAATATTTTTGTACAAAAAGCAGTTTTATTTGAATATGGAAAACATTTCCTCCATTTTATATAAATCCTTTGTGCAAGCAGCTTTCTCCTGCCTTATAGTATTAGTATTGCATTCATAATTGGCTCTTTTCCAGGGTATGGAATATTGGAGTTGTACTGGTAGAGACATATTGGTGAGTCTAAAGTCATGACTGACAAATTTAATCCTCCTTTCTAATGCTGTCATTAGTTAGAGATGCAGCTCAAATCCATTCCAACATTTGCCTGCAATCCAGACCTTTATAAATCCATAATCTTGCAGGTGGTATTTAGAAGACAATTGATGTTAATTTAAGTTACCGGACAAAACTGAGACATTTCATAGTGCACTCTTTTCCGAACCTAGTGGCATATTCAATGGAGAGATGGATGAAACGATTCCTGTTTGTGTCTGCACGCCCCGTGGTGCATGTTTATGGTTGCTCACTGGTTGACGCCGTAAAACACTGGATATTTCAAAGTAATCCTAAATCACGTCGTCTTTTTGAGGGAGTCACACACAGTGTCTGGCTGCAAGGTGTTTATACATAGCAAGACATAAAGCCACCCTTGATCCAGGGTGTTTTCGTAAAGAGGAGTTCTCATATCATTTTATGAGCCAGCAGCGAAGTTGCCCTATATCTGTAGGGAATGGGATCATGAATATTGTGTTAACCCAGAAAAGTTAAAATCCATGCATGCTTCCTTGTTCCCCTGATCCCTCAGCTTTTGTTGTTGCACTGGCCCATTGTACCCGCGAAGAGATCAAGGGGACCCCTGTCGGTTGTGGATTATTCCTTTGTAGAAGTGCCACTGTAGGGGATAGAGGATTAAAAGAGCAGACAGTGGATGGGGATTCTACAGGAAGTTAGTTTGCAGCACACACTGCACATGGATTGTTTAAAGTGGAGTATTTTCTATTGAATAGCCTATTTGGTGTAATGTTTTTATTTTTATTTTTTGTTTATTAAACACATCACAGGCATTAATTCGGTACTCATGCTCAGCACAGTTTCAGTAGGTGTAGGACTGTAGGAATATGCCTCATTTGGATATTTATATCATATAGAGACAATCAACACTGGAATTGCCTGTAGCTAGATGATGAATTTTCATTGTTTACATGTTTTCTCAGCTGTGGCGGGAGATGGGGTGGGGGTGAGGGCAATGCAGCTGAATGAATATGAAAGAATCATTGTCCTCATTTTTCTCCATTTTCATTAAGAGCATATTGAAACCTTGCTACTTCTCGTAGCAGTAATATTGTCAGTGTTTTTGATTTTGTGTGCGTTAGAGTATCCTTAGACTAAGGTGATTTCTGGGGGCTGGTCTACATTTTTCATTGGTTCTTGTGTCTTCTGTTCCTGCAGGAAGCCATGGACCTCGAGGGTGGGCAGCCTCATATCCAGAATGTGCTGCGAAGAACCAATCACCTGTGGACATCGCAGATGAACAAGCTCTGGTTTCAGAGGAGTACCAAGAGCTTGTGCTCGACAAGTTCAACACGGAGTCCTCCAACCACACCACCATGAAAAACACAGGAAAGACAGGTGTGCATCCCACAACTTGTTTTGTTCAGTCAACTTTCTTTGTATAGCAGCTGTCGTACAGGTTAGTGCAGTTCAAAGTGCTTTAGAGATGACTAATAAGCTGATAATACAATGAGATGGTACAAATATAATTATGAGATTTATTGGGTCTGTAGACTCCATTAAATTCGCAATAATATAACAACAAAATCCAAAATGCTAATTTATTGGTAGGATAATGATTTCAATAGTTGTTAGTTTCAAATGATACCAGGACGTGTAGGGTGCAATATGACAATATAATGACAACATACTGTGAGACTATATAGAAACTGACAGTTTCCATACAGTTTAACTTGAGGTTGCTATCCTTATCCTAATATATTGTACCCCTGGTTGTATGAGAGCATTACAGGCAGTGCTGCAACATCCTTACAGGACTTCTGTATAACTGAGATGAAGTACTTTCATTTTCCAAGTATTAAATTCACAGAATTAGTTAATTAAACCAACCAACAGACTGAATTTACAGAAAGTTTTCCATTCCATAACCCCTTCAATTTTGTTACATTTCATTATGTTGCAGCCTCATGCCAAAAAAACATTCCTCTCATCAATTTACGGTCACAGCCCCATAATGACAAAGCAAAAAACTGAATTTTAGAAATTTCTAAAATTGATGAGGGAAAAAATGATATTTTAAGGCTGCAACATAACAAAATGTGACGAAATGGATGGGTCTGAGCACTTTCAGAATGCACAGTGTAGTGGCATTGAAATATAACAATACATGTACAATTGTATACAGCAACCACTTGTAGTTTAAATCAAACTAAGTGCTACTACGATAGTACATCACGCTTAGAAATTATAAACATCCCCAACTCATAGATTTTAAGTATTTCTCATGGCAAGTTTCAAAACCAAGCTCTAACATTTCTGTGAAAGGCATAACAACCATGCATGATAGTAACAGCCTGCCACCATTGTTGTAAATCTGCCTGTGTTTTAGTAATTCCTCTATTATTTGCCTTCATTGTGCTGTGCCCCTATCTCTCACCATCCTTTTTGTACACAGCCTGCATGCCTTGTTTACAGAAACATTTTGAGGCTTACTTGATTAACTGCTACTTCAAACTATTGCCTCAATGTTTTTTCCCAATCAGCAAATCCATGGACCATTGGTGTGAAAACCCTGACCTTAATTGATCTCCTCTGCTTTTGGTACCGTTTCTCTCAGAGAGTTGTGTCATCTTTTGCGTATGATCATAATGAGAGTTGTTAGCCTCCATGACAACCAAGGCCATTGGGACAGCTGAGCAATGCTTTGGGCTGCTTATTTACAGAGATGGAAATAACACGGCTGGCTGTAATTTTGGGCACATAAAGTACAGAGGGAATTTTAGATTGGTGAGCACTGTGAAAATCCAGAAAATAGAACCACATTACCACAAAATATTATTATGCAAAGGCCATTTAGAGGAGGTCAACTTAATATTTAGCAAATTCACCTAACAGTATTGGGAAACTGATTTAATATCAGCTTGTCACCCATTTACTTTTGGGATTATAATGACATGACAGGTAGGCTTTATTGCCTATTGAAACTTATTTGATTGAAAAGTAAAGCAATACTACATTACCAAGATAAAATATTCTTTCATAATATAGTGTGTGTTTTTAAATATTCAACAACTTTAAATAACATACATGGATGGATGGATGGATGGATGGATGGATGGATGGATGGATGGATGGATGGATGGATGGATGGATGGACCAGTCACCAGATGGATGCAGCTTGGTGGCTCCCTGGTGCATTCATTGGTTTGCTGATGCTCTATACTGCACCCCAAAAACCAAAGTTTAGAATAAGGTAAAAAAGAAAAAAAAACAGTGTATAAACTCTCCTCAGTCTTTATTTTTAATGTTGCATCTGATTCACTTTACACTTGACTTGTGGGTGATTTTTTTAAAGACAGAGTTAGTTATTGATCCTAACAGAAATTCATCCTTCATATTCTTGTTACTCATCATGCAGCTACTTATTTCTGGTCCCTCAGTCCTTTCTTTCCACGGACTGCTACAAATAAGTTTTGTTGTGCTCTCAAATGTTTGGTTTCAAAGGTATGACCTTCAGTTAGAGGGGCTCCAGAATACGATCATTTTAGACGTACATTCAATACACGTATTGCTCATACCAATACCAACAACACTAGCTGTAGAAACAAAAAGAGGTGATGGAAACGGAGGGAAGATCTGCAAAACTCATTTCTGTTCGTTGCTCCAGTGCTCTCAGCTCTTGTGCTGATTGTTAGCTAAGTTGGCTAAAGCACTTTTGAACCAGACGCTGGTACAACCTTCTCTACTTTGTCTGACAGCACTTTCAGCAGCTGCGTAGGAGAGACACTGATTTGATTATTTAACTATGAACAGGACAAACTTTTTATTTCCCTGACTGTGTGGAAAAGTCCCATTTTCACTTCACAAATAAAGAACAAAGGCATTAAAATGTGACTCTTACAGATAAAACATTACTCATGCAAGGTGTTACAGGAGTTAAGTGTGGGGCAGCCGCTCTGCAGGTGAACTGGACCTATAGGCCTCTATCACTGTGTGGAGGAGTGATTACCATAGCTCTCATAATTGTAGGTAAGGTGTAATTAAGGAAAAAGAAAAGTTTTAAAGTCTATAGGTAAGAAAGCAAAAAAAAGCTACAAGAAAATGATAAAATAGTAAAGTTGACTATGGTGCTGCGTTCACTAGCATTCATCCCTGTGTCCCCCGGTGTCTTTTTTTTTTTTTTTGATGTTTCCACTAGGGGGTGGTGTAGTGGAGATTTTGGAATCCTGCTCAGACGGGCTTTAACTTCATACTATGTAAAAGTCAATGTTTTAATTAAGAACTGAGTGAATAGATCTTAAAAGTTCAGTGCGATTGATTTCACAACGTTCCCTTGTGCCTTGACCCGCTTTGAGATTGAGCTGATTGGCCGCCATTCAAGCCGCATTCCTCAACAAAACATTTCTCAGTAAAATTTCAAACAACTCTCAACCAAATTCATGAGGAATCGGAGGACCCCAGAGACATTTGCATTGATCAAGGATTTACTTTCACACATACTCCTCTTCTTTCACAGGCTGTGATTCAAGGTCTTTTTGGCTAAGCTTCTAATTCCTGCTCTGCTGTTAGAGGGTTCAAACACACCCAGGGCCGCATTTCTAATGAAACTCCCAGGGCCAGCCAGCACCCCCTATCCTTGACTTTCCTTGTGCTGCGCACAGGATTACACCACTTCAACAACAGCAATAGCAGGGATTTATTTCCATCACTGTAAATGTTTTACGTGTCTGCAAATGAGCTGCACAATTATCATCATGTGATGGGTACTTCTTTCTTACGCACACTGATTTTCACTTTGACCTGGTGCTTTCAATCTTGGAAATCTCCTGCATCTAAGACCTTTTCCTTCATGCTGTGGGCCATCAGCTTAAGCAGCACTGGCACGTTAATACTGCTGGCAGATTCTTCCTTGCCTCGCGACAGGGGCTCAGCTCATCCCTCATCATATGAGGTTCTCCTCTCCTCAGATCTCCTTGTCTCTTCCCTCCTTTTTCTCTGGAGCTCACACTCTTTTCTTCACGGTTCTTCCTGCTATCTATCAAATGGTGATCTGTTTCTGTTGCCTTGATTTCATTCATTCTCTCTACACAGCTTGTTCATCATGTCGTCTGTGTTTACTGACAGTCTGTGTTTGCTTGTACATGCTCATCCTCTTGGTTTGCTTTTGTGATATGATTAAAAATGGGCTGTCCTTCTCCAGAGAGGCTGACTAAATCTCTCTGTAACGAGGGAGGATCAGCCGACAGAGCACCGGGTCTAATCTGGCTAATGATGTCAAATGTAGACATGGTTAAAGGGTTACAGATACATTAACATGTAACCTTGGCCAGGACAACAGAAGGAAGATAATCTGCCTCGTCATGATGGTGTTTGAGATGAACTAACACAGCTCAAACTCACCCTTATATGACACTGCTGAGTAGGCTACATTTACAAATGTTGGCTTCCGCAGAAGCAGACAGACTTAACTTTTAAGGTGAATCCAAATTGCTGTTGGCAAATGAAAACCTCATGACAGCAGAAATGTCTTCAGGAGGAGAATTACATGGGCTGCTATGAATTTTGAAAAGCGTATGACCGTTAAAAACCATTTCAGTTTCAGAAGTGTATGGTAAGAAATGTAGATGAATTGGTGAAACTTGATTCTTTTTTTTTTTTTGGCAGATAGCATGCAAAGCTGTGATGTTTGATATGGTCAGTGCTCTCTAAGCAAACACCAATATCTTGCAAAAGTAGTCATTTTTGACTTTTGTCTGTCGAGTTTGATTTTGCAAAAACATGTCTCACATAGTGGAGACGTATTGACGTACTGCTTCACTTCCTGACTCTCCGGCTTCTCGCAGGCAGTTTAGAGAATATTGGAGAAACAAATCTAGATTGAATGCTCCTGGGAACCTAACTACAGTGCATTCAGGAAGTATTCAGACTGCTTCTTCAATTAAATAACTTCATAGACATATCAAGCTCAGACGGAAACTGGCAGATTAAGCAAAATCATTTTGTAAATCTAAATTCTTACAGAGGTTAAAATAAACAGATTTCCACAGTAAGTGTATAATGGTAGAAAACCGTGTATAAGTAAGTGATTTTCAGAAGACATATGTATTTTAAAATCTATGAAACTGCATAAAATAATGTTATATCTACCTTACAGCCTATGAAGGGCCTCCATAAATAAATGATAGTGACACCAAATAAAAATGCCACAAAAATTCCAAATGCCTAAATGTAATCTTTTTCCACTCAAAAATGTTATTTAGAAACTTTCAGCAATGCGGAAAGCGGTAATAATCTTGCATGAGAGAAAATGTTACAATGGCTGCTTTCACAGACTGAAGCGATGGCATTACAGCCTTTCAAAAAGCTACCAGGTGGAAGAAGATCACAAAGCAGGTGAATGCCATTATGTATTCCTAGTGAAGCATGCAACAAGTTAAAGAGAGAACCGCTTTGTCTGAAGCTGTTCACTATGTAGGTTCCCACAGTCAACTGATGGGACGTGAAGGCCACAGGAGGAGGCCGGCAGGTGCTCTCTCTGAAGGGCACATCAGTGGCCACCACTGACTTTGTATCCAGCCATGAAATGATTCCCTGCATAGAGTGTCTTAAAGATGCAAACCATTTCAGACTGCGGGTCATCAGGTAGCAAAATACCCTTTGGCAACGCTTACTTCCCTCAAAGTCCAGATCGTTTGAGACTTTACAGCTTCTTGGCCCCTCTTAAATCACCTCTAATGAAAGGATAAAAGCACATTGATCAGTTTTGCTGTGTAATAATTTCAGAATAAAACAAAGAGTCTGTGTTCAAGGCAGCTTAATTGCAATCCAAATTTATCAACAAAAGAAAAGGAAATGCATACATACATTAAGATATTAAAACAAGTCAGAGCTACTGTGTCATCGTTGCCAAGTTTGGATTACCACACTGATGTTCCCTAAGAGTCTATTCAAGTTTTTAGCCCAGACTGACAAATATCATGGGGAGACATTGACTAACAAATGATCAGTGCAATAATCAGTGTCCGAAGCAGGTAGAAATGGTGCTGTGTCATTCTTTTATAGACAATATTCAGATTGTGTTTGATATCTTGAGAGATAAGAAAATGCACAATCTCTGGATCAGGATAAATATGAACGCCACAGAATTTAAATGTGTTATTTTGCGATAATTGAGCTGTCATTACAATAAACAGATGAGAATTTAGATAATGAGAATCAAGTTGTGATCTTGAGATAGTAGGCGTAAAAGAAAAGAGATGAGCCACTGCAGCTCTCAGCTTCTGTAGAATCTAATCTACATTTTTGCTGCACTTGGATGAGTATACTTAATTTTCCTTCTTTGTTTGATTGCATCTTTTTTCTTTCTTTTTTTCTCCTTTTTTTCTTTTTCTTTTTGTCTCCAGTTGCTGTTCTCCTGAAGGATGACTACTTTGTGAGAGGTGCTGGACTGCCAGGCCGCTTTAAGGCTGAGAAGATGGAGTTTCACTGGGGCCAGAGTAATGGATCAGCAGGCTCAGAACACAGCATAAGTGGCAGAAGGTTCCCTGTAGAGGTAAAACATCCTGTCGCTACACTACACTTTGACAAATGTGCAATATGGGGCCTCGAGGGTCAGCGCTGAATGTAGGAGAATCAGCAAGTCACTGTAGTGTTTAGACAGATGAGGTTTTATAGAGAACAACAAATTGAAATCTTGTCAAGCCAATAGATATTTTATTATTGGAAATTATATATCATATAATTAAGGCCTCGAACACCAAAATGAAAGTCAAGACTCACTTTTGCTTGTAGATTTGACTGAATATACAGTTGCACTTTAAACATTCAGCAGGTATTTTAGTCTTCACAAGTTCAGTAGTGTCACAGAGTTGGTGCAGAATTGAGGCGGTGCATTGATGCTTCTAAAATCCAGTTTCAACTCCTCCAGGAAGCTCTAGTGGGTTGAGAGGCTGAAGATTTTTCAGACCATCAGAGAAAACAAAATCTACTTTGGTCAATAGCTATTTTTAGGTAAACTGCAGCTTTCAGAGGATGCTGAATGATGATGCTTGGCTACTACAAATTTTCAGAACAGTAGGCCTGTGTTACAAAGTGGGGGTGTGGAGTTCAACAGAGGTGGAATTTACCAGATATGGTCCAGCAAAAAGCGTTCAGGTTGCATTATGGGAAGTGTAGTAGCCAGTGTACTATATCATTGTGAGTTCCTTTATCAAACTTTATGAAAGTGCAACATAGAATTAGCAGCGTAGCCTTTAAAACCTTAAGACTGGAGGTTTTTTAAGAACAGTAATATGTTTAAAAATGGCTGCAAGTCATCAATTAATTAACATTCAAAACATTAAACAAATGACATATATTTTGCAAACTACTCATCACATTTTTCAGTTATTAATCAAAATACAAAATACAATAAAAACACAATTTATATATTTTGATTTAGTAGCAAGGATATCACATCAATGAAAGTCAAGTGACAAGCTATGGGGAAAAGAAAGTTGAGTAGTAGAGTTTAAATGAAATGAAAAGCAGAAATTGGTACTTTTCTTGCTCGTGTTTTTTGGCATAAGGTCACAACTGATTTATCAATGCAATTAGTGCCAAAAGACAAAGAAAAGGCATAAAAAAACAAAGGGGGAACAGACTGCAAGTAATAATGGGAACGCAGGAAAAAAATTAACAGACATCACCAACTCTTGTAGCACTGATATAAAGGGTATTAAGTCTGAAACCTTTTGGTATTATTTATTCTGGCTCGTGGATTAAAGCAGAAATCCCACTCTTTTTTTATGTGGTGCGGAGAATGAGTTATTAGTGCCTTTCAAATTTTATCATTTACAATGCCATTACCATTCATTATCTAAAATGAATTTGCAAATGTGTCATAGTCTTATATTTTGAGGGGTTATATAAAATGTTTTTTTTTTTTACCCCCTCTATTGTCATATAATTAGTGGAAATATAACAGTGTATGAAAACAGGAAATGGCTGTCAGTGTGTCTCTCTGTCCTATCTCCAAACACACAGCTAGAGTCCTCCTTGTTTGTTTCTTGGCCATATTCTTTGGAGCCCTCTCTGCAGGCGCGGCTTTTGATGCTGAATGGCTGAGTAATTAGATTTATTTTTTGCCACATCATTTTGTGTTCAGCGTAGTGTTAAAGGGCACCAGATTATATACAGCCATTACAAAGCGGTTGTGCATATGGCTCCTTTGATGGTGTGCTTCTAAATAAGATGATGGAATTCACTTTAATGACCAATTGGAGCAGCTGTTGGGGGAAAAAAAGCTTAGAAAGAGCAAGAAAAGTGTGTCCTCCAGATTCATAATTTATATGAGATATAGTTTAGCGAGCCTTTGTGTCTAGATGAAGGTTTTTGCATTGACCTCTCTCTCTGTCAAAGAACATGGATTCCACAGCTAATGTGCTTGAAAAAGGATGATGCGCTCTCTCTCTCTCTATATATATAAATAAAAGAACATCATGATCCTTACCTGCCAGCAGGTGCATGGCATAGGCCAAAAAAAAATGTGTATATATATATATAACACATACATACACACACAGGTATATGTATATATATCTGCATATAATCTGTCTATTGGAGGTAAATAAACACGAGCAGGATTACAAATTGTTTGATGCTGATCTTTAGTAGACAATACAAATGTATAGACCAAGCCTGCTGGAAAAAAAAAGGAAAAAAGGCCAAGCTGTGGTCCCTTCACTGTATCCTGCACAGTATGCAACGATATGGCAATCCTATCCAGGCATATAAATTAATAGGGCTAAATAACAATCATTAATCATCAATTAGAGTATTTGTGCTTATGCAAGGCTGAGAGCCCATGACAGCAATCACAAATGAAGCGCTGCCATTTGGATGCAAATGACGTCTCGTATTGTCTTCATAACTTTAAGGATGGGTAACCCTCCTCTTGTACCAGTTATTCTGTTAACATACGCTTCACAAACATGCAGGCAGCCCGGATTGGACTGACTTGACATACAGGGCGATGGGGATTGAGGTTTCTTAAGTGAAACCATGGAGAAGTGTACAAAGAAAATGATTCTCTTATCAATAAGCCAGCCTACATGATGTGTTATTTAACAATGTGGATCAAAAGGTGAGAGAGTGAAATCAAATGGTGAGTGGTTGAAGGGGAATATGGTTATGTAGGATCTAGCTTTTGGCCATTTAACTGTTCCATCCTGCTAGATGTGTCATTTTAATTTTTCATATTTATTCCTTGACAGCATTTGACATGTTTGAGATGATATTACATCTGACAGCATGTGCGCAGCAAAACTCAACGTTTTTCCAAATGTTTGTGTTTCAAAAACCAAGTGATCTTTTAAAGTGGAGGTTGGCTTTTGTTTTGTTGTGTATATGTTTTGTTCGAGGAGAGCTGAGCAGCATGACCTAGGAGGTTGAGCTCCAGGGCTTATTTGTCTCTTCTAAACAGAGACTGTTTTCCAATCTGTTGTCTAATTATCTCTCCATTCCAAATGAGTCACAGTCAACCCGGAGTTGCATATACCACACAGCATAAAGCATTTACTCTTACAGTGGGGATAAAAAAAAAAAAAAATCCTACAAAGTGTTTATCCCACCTGCCCAGAAGCTTGAAAACACACAAATATAGTTCACACATGGGTACAGAGGGTGGAAAGACAAATTCAGTGAGCTGTATTATGGAACTGCTCTGTCTCTGTAACATGGTCATGTAAGAAACACAACCGATGGCCTGCTCAGCCTGTGGCTCCTGAGCTTGACATTAATCTAACCACGGTCTTTTTCATGGGAGTGAAGTGGGGAAATCGATAGATGGACCACCTGTTCGCTCAAACAGTACAATGAAAAATGAAAAATGAAACAGTGGATTTTTTTTTCTGCCTTCAGGGTGCCATAGGGAAATCTTTTCTAATAATTTATTAGGGTGTCACCAAGGTTAGATTAATTATACATGGATTACAAATCATACCTTGGAAGGGTGCGCGTTCTCACACAGTTCTGTAGATGTATCAAGTGTTAGAGTGGGTGTACAGTAGAGTACAGTACATTTCAGAAAGAGAACACCTCCAGTAGCACTGAAAATGTCTCTGCAACAGAAAGTTAAGAAAATACACAAACGAGAATGGGAAATGGATACGGCATCTCTAACCAAACCCGTGGAGATAGACAAACCACAAGCAAATTAAGAAAACATATTCACTAATTTGGACAAAAAAAAAAACAGCAGCGTGTTTGAAAGTTGAAAAACACAATCGCATAACTAGCCTACATGTGCTACAAAATACAAAAACAAATACAGCCACACATAGTAAATACAACCAAATACAGAAAATACAACTCAAATACACAGAGGAGGACAGCACAAGGGAATAGAAAAAAAAAAAAAAAAAAAAAACCCAACTAAACAAAGAAAATCCCTAAAACCTGACGGAAAAAACACCCCAGAATGAGCGAATTGTTGCTGTGGTTGGCGGAGCATGGAATTACTGAAGTCAACACCCCGTCAGTGGTGCTGGAAAATGAGCGAACAATGAATTGGGTGGCTGCTAAGGCTATTTGCAATAATATCTGAATCCTGCAATCAGAACTGGTGAAACCTTTTTTTTTTCTATTTGGTTGTGTTTTGTCTGTTTATATGTATTTTCTGAAGTTGCGGTGTGTTGAGCTCTCAGGGCCACTATAGATTGATCCCTCTCTGTTAAGTAATAAAAAAATTATGTGTGATTATCGTGTCTAACTCACAACAGGCATCATTGCAACAGTAACACATCAACAACATAGTGAATACATTTTTATATGGAGCCATATGATAGAAGACAAACAACACCAGGCTTTTTATATTGATTTTAAAAATGCCTGTAATGTTGGCTGTATCAGTGGAACCTGTATTCATGTACAGTGGACTCCAAATGTCTGAGACCATTTTCCCATTATATTTACCAGGTATTTGTGAAGTTCCATTCAGCTGTCGAGTGGTTATATTACCAGTATTAGGTCAATATGAAAATTGGCAAAGTCAAGCAAATTCAGATCTTGCAGTGAATCTGCATTCTTACATTCTTCTTGTATTTGTTCAGCATCACCCACTGTAAAAATTTTATGATGCTTTATTCTTCTTGAAAATGAGTGCTCTAGCACTTTGTAGGTGCTCGAGTGAAAGAATAAAGTGGATGGTGATGTGTGATTGGAGTGAGATAATCATACTGTGTTAAAAAAGACACGTTTACCTGTTAACAACAAAATGCTGTGGTAGCACAGTTGTTGTAAAAGATAAAGGATTGGAAAGAAGAAAACATTTGTGCTGCTGCGATAAATCCAAGACCTCTCCGCACACAAACTTATTTCTTGTCATTTTCTTGTCTCGCCAATATCTTGCCGTCTTGGGAAATCATGCCAAACATGACTTTGTTTTTTCACCTGTTTGTGTTTAAATGGAACTTGGGAATGCAGAGCAGTTTTCAGCGCTCGTGTTTGCACTCACTGTGTGCCGGTAAACTGGAAAAAAAAAAAAAAAGAAAAAAAAAGAGGGCTATAAACTGAATTTAGACAAAAGAATGGCTCAGGAGATATGGGGACAGCATGGGCTGTCTTCTCTGCAGAGAAAACTGGAAGTAGATTATAAAGCTCAAATAATGTTTTGTTGTCTTTTAGTTTCCACCTGTTTCCCCTGAGTGATCTCAGTGAGTAAATGAAGGGGGTCTCTCGCAAGCTGTTATTGGCACTCGTCATTTTCAGATTGGTCTTTACATACTTCACTGTACAACACTATTGTTAATTGTACTGATAAAAACAAACATGTAAGAATGTGTCTGGATATCTGAAGACATTTCAGAGAGTTTTATCCTGCTTAAAAATCAAAAACTTCAAGCCATATCTGCGGATGAAGTTTATTCCAACGAGGGGTCTCATGTCAAAAACATACAGTGAAATGAAGCGTGCTATCAAGTGATCCAAATCACTTTTGGCAACAATTGTTTTTATTGGCAGCTATGAACGTGTTTGATAATTGATAATTTGTTTGATAATCACGTTTTCCAAAGTGTGGTGTTAACAAGAGTGGGTCACATGAGCCAATCTCAGTGAGTAAATGAAGCCTAAGGGGGCCAGCTTAATTGGGTAATGTAGTTAATAACATCTGAAGGGTGATGAATGGCCAGTGCTCTTTCTTGCTGAGCTCTCAGACAACAAATTAGCTCCATTAAAGGCTGCAGTTAAAAGAACTCTGAAGGAAACTGATTAACTTAAATTATCTGGATTGAGTCATTTTGTACCTGGTTTAGTCCTGCGGTACACATTAATGGATTTATTTTTATTTCTACGCTTATTTACTTTGACTTTTTGCATCTGTTGTCAGCACAGCAAATTGTGGCTGGGGGTTTCTCGTAATTTTCCTTTTGAAAAGGGAAAAAGGCAAGCATAGCCTTTAATTAAATCAACATCTAGGACCTTTTTCTTATTACCAATTAACTTGGTTCAGTGACATGAAAGCGTTTTCTAATTTAAGGAGGCTGGAAACAGTGAGATGATGGACAGCTCCGATTGCTACTTTTAGAATCATTTACTGATTTTGATCGGCACTACCATAATGTGTTCGCTTTGAAATGAAAGGAATGAAAATCTTTTCTTTTTTTTTTTTCTTTTTTTTATAAAAAAAAAAATAAGAAGCCATGGCAGGTATGTGATGTACTCTGTGTATGATGGCTTGTGGATTATACCCACACATCCTAAGCTTTGTTGTGAAATCAGAAGCAATGTTGTGGGTGATTCAAGGTAATTGGGAACAATGATTAAAAGCACACCATTCTCTTAGATCTCACCACAGGAAAAGAGCACATTCCTCCAGTTCTTCCTCTCTGCTTGGAACTGTCTCTGCGAGGGCAGTTGCCCCGAGGAATGGGCTGCTGTATTTCTCTAGCATCCTCCAGGAGTGGCAGCACACAAAAAGGAATGACACAGATTATGGGAGATTTATGAGTGTGATAAATACACCCTCTTTTATGCCCCTCAAAACAGCTTTTCATCAGCTCCTCGGCAGTGTGTCCAAGTGATTGATGACAGGACTCTTCGTTCTCCTTGTCCACTCCTCAAGCTGTTTATGCTCTGTTTCCCATCACAGATGCAGATCTACCTTTACAATTCAGATGACTTTGACAGCCTCAGTGCTGCCATCAGGGAAAGACGCATCATCGCTGCCATGGCCGTCTTCTTTGAGGTAAAGTATCACCAAGACTAAAGGTCAAGGCAAATATATGAAGAAAACCAGGATTACATGAAAACACCTATAGAGTATAAATGTATTATTCCATGGCTCTAGTGATAGCATGGTGAACACCACACAGACCACACAGACCCCAGACTATCGCATGAATTGCTGTGAAATTTGGTCCACGCATTTGTGTCTACCTCAGATTGAGTGTTAATCACTTCGATGAACCCCAAACTTTCCATGCAGGATCAGCATCAGCATTGTTAGTAGTATTACCCAGATGGTAAAATAACTGTATGAACGTACAGTAAATAGCACTCACTGCCAACTGTTAGAAATTGTTTACAAAACCAGGGAGAATATTGAATAAATATATATATATATATAGTGCATTGAAACTGACAAAAATGAGAGGAAAATAGTAAAGTATGCTAAGAAAATAAGTCAGAATCATACAGGATGGAAAAAGTGAGTTGTAATACAGAGAGCCAATTATGACTTTAGGGGAAACGTAGGAATTCTATTTGTCCAATTATGAGTAGAGATAAGAATAAGTTTTTGAGGTCAGGAAATGATAAATATTTATTAGAAATGATCTTTGGCACCTGTGTTGTGATAGGAAATTTTCTCTTCACCTGGTTGCTGATTATTTCTCTTGTTCTGCGGCGTACTGCAGATTGCTTACTGAGATACTACAAATTGCCCCCTGAAGGTCTGCACACATAAGCTCTTAATGGACAAGAATGGTCCTAATTTCTGTTAACTGTAAAAACACATCAGAGATTTATGAACCATGAAAAAGCATACACCAGCAGCACTGACACCTCCAGGGTCCCTCTCCATGTTACACTCTTTATTTCTATTAGCACTGTCTTTGCGATTGATGGCAGGTGATCAATGCTCACTAACATTCGGCTTAATAGAATATAGGCAAGGGTCAGCTCTCAGGCAAAGGGAGGCTGGAATGGGGACACAGGTGTTTGTAATGTAGGTCTACTCCCAGACAGTGATGAACCGTGTGTGTGCGAGGACCTAAATGCCTCCGCTGGGTCCTGACAGCCCTATTGCTTACTGCAATTAGTACCACCATACACAATCCGCTGAATAGCAGTTTACAGTGCAAGGGTTTTTTAAGCGGACACACACACACATTGGCTCAGATTTACCATTTCTAATCAATGAGGAGAGTTCTTCCTCTGCTCCCCAAAGGCCTATTAATGGCCTCTAAGGTGTGCATATTATCCACATTCAGCATTCAGTTCAACACAATTATTCTCCTCTGACTGACCTGAATTAATGATGAGCAAGGTAAGATTAGTCCCCGCGTCCCAACACTGTTTTGTCCAGTCGTGTCTCTTAAGTAGGACATTGGGAATATTGTAGAATGTTGGGCTGAATATTTTCCAGTCTTCAGTCACTGCAAAGAATTACCTGTGGGCCTAACAGATAAGGAGGGAATCAATGCTGTTGGTCTCCTGGACACAGTATCTCCATGTAGCAGCTAGAAGGCCTCATAGAGTCGTGGAGGTCACACTGGATGGCAACAGCTTACAAAAGACACAAAGCCTTTGGAGCCATCAGATGTGTTCAATATCTCGTAAAGAATCAAAGCAGCAAATGCACAATAAAAGTTAATGTCTTGAAAGCAGAGCGGCTATCAAATAAATTGTTTTATTAATGGTGTTTTGTTGTTACATGGATACTGTACTTAAACAGTCTAAATATCGTTTAGTACAACACCACAAAAAGCAGCTTCGAAAATGACCAGACGACTGAATCAACCTCACCGCACAATCAACCTACAAAATCCTACCGAAAATTTAATATCGTGTACGTCACAGGAGTGGCAGATGGCATTAGACGCTGCTAGATTATATTGTGTTGTAGAGATGTTGCCTTTACTCTGTCCACCCCTGTATTTTGTTCATATTGATCTTCTTTAGTCATTATGTTAGGTTATTATTCTAGTCTTGTAATCCCTTTTGTAATCTGTTGTCTCTGGGCTTTTTCTGCAGCTGGGCCAAAAAGACAATCCAGCTGCCGACCCCATCATCCAGGGACTGAAAGGAGTAGTGCATCATGGTAAGTAATGGGGAAGGAACCACCTTGTTTAAAACAATCTTATAAGTATTTATGTGGTGAGTGCATTTACATGTAATGTCCATAAATGTTTGTTTAAAAAAATCTTTTTTTTAATCTTCAGTGTCTATATTTCTTTATTTATTTTCCACAGATGTTTTTTTTTTTTATCTGTCATACCAAAAATCTCCTCCACATCAAACATTGCTATGGGGATTAAGTTCATGCGGAATACTTAAAAAGAAATAATCCCATACAAAATCACTCTGACATTGCTGTTGTTGATATTTTGGTTGATCCAAGAGGTAAATTCTTTGTGACAGTGCAGACGTGGTGCTCCTCCCTGCCTCCATAGAACTGAATGATGCTCTTCTATTCAACTGCTTAAACATTGGTTTGTTTGTTTGTTTGTTTTTTTTAAATCTCAAATTAGTCTAAACACAAGATATGAGCAGCATTTAACTTCAAAAGGAGGCAAAATTTGCAAGATACCGCCTCTCCCTCGCTGGTGTAGCTCCACAGTAGGAGACCACCAAGGAGCTTCATTCACAGACATAAGTATTAATTACATCTGAGCCTCAATTAGATAACGCTCTTTTAGTCTGACTCAGATGTACGTGTGTACACTCTCATGGACCGCAGCTCCTGCAAAGGCTCATATTCACATTGAAACTATTAACGTCTTCGGTGTATATCATGGCACTGTTCTTCATTGCATATTGTCTTAAATTACTGCTGCTACTAGTACTGCAGGCTTCACTGCATGCATGACTTATGCAGACTGTGAGCAGATGTTTTAGCATGACTGTGTAATCCTTTACTGCAGCTTGGGACACAGCAGCTCTGTTAACACGGACACGTATGGCTTGTTTTACAACCTGCCACTGACGGTCTTTATGTGAGCATAATCAAACACTGACAAGAACATGTAAATGGATGAGGATATATAGAAGCTCAGTGTCACAGTTCTCAGGAATGGGACCCAAGAGCACAACTCAGGAGGCAGATGTAAAGAGCCTTTACAAGGATAACAAGGATACAGATATCAAGGCAGGCAAACAAAGTACAAAGGGTTGGGCGGAGGCGTAATCCAAAAAACACAGGCAAGGTCAAATGAAAAACATGATCAGGATCAAAACAGGCAGGGAAAGAACAGAGCACTGGAAAGCTAAGGCACATGGCCCAAAGACAATCTGGCAGAGAGCAAGTGGAAACGGACCAGTACATGTAACAGGCAGCTAATGAGGGAATGGGTAACGGGTAAGAAGGGCGATTCTACTGGTGGGAAAGGCAGGGAAAGGCAGGCAGGCGGTAGTGGCAGTGTCTGAAATGACACCCGAACTAGAACATGTATGCGCAAACAACTGGGCTGAATGAATGAAAGGACGAATGAGCAGACTGAAACTCAAAACCATGACACATGCAGTAATTGCTCTGTTCGCATGCTGGTTTCACAAGACAAGTACTGGGCTTCACTGAGTCATTTTTAATTATAATTTCACTCCCAGTACTTTCTGGAGATGGACATTTGAATGTTGTGCAATGTGTGCTGATGAGGTTATGACCTTGTTGAGCACTGGAAAAAAAAAAAATCTTTCACAACTTGGTGACTGAGCAGGAAAAGATGAGCACAAAAGGGAAAAAGTTCACTTAGAGCTCACTAGAGATTATTTAAAAAAACAAAACAAAAAAAAAACAGGTGAATTAGTCTTTGAATCTCAAAATTGGGTCACTTTGTTCAGTGAAATTTCTAGACTTCAAATTTCATTGAAGTGATTACATTAAAGAAAATAACCCATTTTCTGATTGGTCTCTTATCAGCTGCGGGGCTATTTCACCCGTGGTTTTCATTTCACAGAGGTATTTAAGCTCCACTTTTCTTTTGTTATATAACCTTGATAAAGGCAGGTTGCCAAACACATCGTTTTTGCCAGTTTATTTTATGACTCTCCATCAGTCTCCAAAAAGTGGCTGAACTCTGCTGTGCAGCTACACAGATGTTTGTGTTAGCACCACAGTATCTCTCATCTCCCAGCTGAATGAGAGCTCAGTGTGGGTGTGGTGGTTTTTGGACTGTCTTCCTGCTGGCTGCTAAATGCTCCTCGCCTCCTCCCCCGTTTGGGTGGTTGGTTTTCCACTAGCTCGTTATCCCACAGTCATCCATCCATCAGCATCTCGGCGGCCCATGAGCGATAGGGCACGTACACTGCCTGAAGACGGGGAGAAGAAAGGCTGTGAATACTGAATTTGACTCTGAGTACAGATGAGGCATGGGAGCGAGCCCTCCAGTGCCTCAGTAGCGCTATTGAATGCAAACCAGACCCCAAACCTCTGTTTCTTTTTAGATAAGGTCATGAGCTGTGAGAGATTGGATTTGACATAAATTCAGCTTTATTTGGGGTTTTCACGTCATATTTCAAGGAAAAAACAAGCCCACTCGCGTAACCCACATGGCGTATTTGCAGGAGATAAAGGGATCTTCCTCTGCATCACAAACTGCTGCTTGTTGTTATTTTGTTTTACACGGATCTGTCTTAATCTGTCTTAATTTTGGATCTGTCTTAATCCCCGTGGCCCATGCCATGGTTGTTACGCGGAGCAGAGCACGCTACCACCCAGCCACAGATGAGCTGTCAGAGCAGGCCATTTTATCAGACTCCCCTCCTTTTGCTCCTCTCTCAGCCCATCTGAGTACAGAGATCTGGCCAGAGTGATAACAAGTGGTGGGGCTTTTAACTGCTTCCACCATTCCACTAGTGGAGGCTTCAGGAAAGCAGTAAAAATGCCACAGGGAGATTGAAATGAAACGACCTTGTAAATGTTGGTGTAAATGTAACTCAAGATATGCAGGGTTTTCAGCAGAGCATTAAGAAGTGCAAGATGTAGTTTTTTTAAAGCTGCTCAGAAAACTGTGCTTTTCATCCCTGCTTATTGACAAGTTCTGATCCAATGCTCTACACAGAAAAGGAGACCAACCTCAGGTCTTTCATCCTGAGGGATCTGTTGCCGTCATCAGTGGACAGTTATTACCGATACACCGGTTCCCTGACCACGCCGCCCTGCAGCAAGGTAGTGGAGTGGATCATCTTCTCCAGGCCGGTGTATCTGTCCCACTCGCAGGTGCGTCCAGTCCACACACACACACACACACACACACACACACACACACACACACACACACACACACACACACGGACACACATGGCCAGACGGCTATATTCTCCACGCACAGTCAGATCCCATTTGCACATAGTCAGTGGATCACTTGCTGCCCCACAGTGTCAGCGCACAAGCAATTTTTCCCCTCATCTACCTCTACTCTTTCTTCCCTTTACCCTCGTTCCTCCCCAACTACTCTGCATATGAAGCCATAACTGCCTATATAGAGGATGATTAAGTGGGAAGGGGGAGCCAATTACTGGTATTTGAATGATAGTAAGTGTGAGATAGCTCTTATACATATATCATACTATCGGTGTGAGACAGTGACTATAGGCCCTTAAATAGAATACTGCTGCACATGGATTTAAATGTTCATTAATTTGAATTACATCTGTAACAGTTTAACATATGTTTAATGAAAATGTAGCATTTTACAGCAGTCACCTATGTGCTGTACAACAGCTTACCGCCAACTGGTTTAGCAATTGTGATTTTGAGAGATAATGTATGCCAAATCATGCCCCACGCTTTTTGCTGATCCCATACACAGCATTTTTTATATATACAATTCTTGGGTTACCCAGCTGCATATCCTCTAGAGCGTTGTGTGCTATAGAAATTTGCAGGGCTCAGTGGAATTTCTATCAGCTTGCAGGCGGACAAATCTTTTGTTCCAAAATGACTCGTGCTGCAAGAATATTGACCAGTGCTGCAATGTTTGTGACGCTCACAGATAGTCTTTATGAACCTGTAATTCATTTCTCCAAACACACATAGGACACATTGATTCCACAGTATCTGTAATGTGTAGTCATTACAGCACGCGGCAGGAGATCATTCATGGCAATCAATGGCCACAAATTTTGCCCCATTGAGAAGTTACAGCTTGGTAGGTAGCCAGGATGATGATTGAGGTCCCTGCCTGCTGGTGCCTGTGGTGTGAATGTCTCTTGCAAATACTGTGCTCCAGTTGTGAACAGTCAGCTACTGGCAAGTGGTTGCAAATGCAGTCCTGCATGATCTATTATATTCAAAACACACATACTGAAACACACACACGCGTAGTAACAAAAGTGCTTCAGTTTGCTTCAAATAGCTGTTCCCTCCTTCTATTCATCTAGCTGGAGGCCTTTTACTCCATCTTTACAACGGAGCAACAGGACCATGTCAAGTCTGTAGAGTACCTAAGGAACAACTTCCGGCCCCTGCAAGACCTGGACAATAGGAAAGTCTTTAAATCGGCTGTGAAAGATGCATGGCAGAAGGATTTGACTGAGATCCTGCGAAACCCTCACAGCACTGAAGCTTCAAGAGGTACGTACCATTTTGTACATTTAATGCATTATATCCATAGATATCCTGTATTGTATCAGATTCTCCCTGTGGTTTGCAATGTAGCTTGACTGGTATAACCAGAGGAGCTCCTGCAATGACTACCATTACTTACTACTAATTAGTTCTTGTAAAATTGCATACGATTTACGTCATAAATCCGCAAATCTCGCATTCCATCCAAAAGCTGCTGAAAATCGTACCCGAGCTATGTACCTTTTTGCAGTTTTGCTAGTCTACAACCTTCAAAATTTGTCCTAAGTGACAGTTTGGGAAGCCCTTGTCCCTTACTTACTGTTGCCTTGCATGTCAAGTTTTCCGTTCTCGTACGGCAGACATGCAGTTTACAGTGATGACTGTGGCAGATTTACCACTGCAAAGTCTTGGTACTTTTTACCAAATGTTTGGTCTTTGATGTCAACAGTGGTACACAAAGACAAGCTTCTCATTTCCAGTGACAACTGCCACTGGCAGATTTTATTAGCTCTAGCTACCTAGCTAATTTAAACTAACATCACAAGCATCACAAGTTGGTTAAAAACACTGTCTCTGCCTTTTTTAAGGGTTTAAAGTTTAAAGTTTTTAATATTTCCTTTTGCTTGTATTACAACAAAAACCATGCAAAGGGGTCTTAAATATGCACTTGATGGCTACATAAATTATATCCTGTGAAAACACTGCGGCTAAAGCTCCATAGCCTACCTAGAATCTGCATCCTCACCAGCTGAGGATACATCTATAGGACATGGAAGTAAAGAAACAGCACAGTTTGAGGATTGCAGTGTAGTATTGTTCTTAATAGAAGCCCATGCACAACACTTCAATGTGTGTAGGAAACTTAAGTTTGACAGGTCTGCCGTGATGAGCTATGATTGGACAGTCACTGTTCCGGGGAAGGGGGAGGGGTTTAGCAAATGGTCATTTGGATTCCACATTGCTTTCATCTCCTTGCTGAGGTAACCAAACTAAGAGAATGTGTCAAAAATAGTATGATCCTAAATCATGTGTCTTTGTATGTAAATGGAAGTGGTAAATTCACATGAACTCTGTCCTAAAATGTAAGTCCTATTTGCACAGGAGTAGTACAATCTGCAGCCCTCCTCTATTTGGTTGCAGCTATTGTTTATGTTCATAATATATAAATTAAAGATTTGACCACATATTATTTTCCATACCATGTTTTTTTCAAAAAAGCCTCTGGTTTTTCCGCACTATTTTCTTTCTGGTCAAAAATCGACAGTCTGCAGTGAAAATTATTAAGGAGTTCTTTTGAAAGTATTTCGGGACTATATTCAGGAAATTCATCTTGCTGCTCAGCATGGAGACCGAATCAGCAGGTTACTAAATATAATATTAACATAGAAGGTAATCTTTTTTTTTTTTTTTAGGAGAGAGAACATTATGATGTGATTAAAATCACTAGAATACTAGGCAATAATTTAAATTTCCAGAGATTTTGGGTAAAGTTTGTCTTTGTTTTTCTCTTTTATGCGTGCATCTTGCAGCACTTGCTTTAACAGAACAGTACAGGAACTATGGAGACTAATGAGAAAGGCTGGTGCTCCTTAAAGTGGTATTGTTGCTGTCTAGGGGGGAGAATTGATTGGGAATGCCTGTGATGAAGTTAGAGCACTCTAACAGAGCCGATCAGCAATCATCATTAATATGTGGCACAGCTAAAATAGACTCATACAAATTAAGTTGTGAAATTGCTTTTGTGGCATTATGTCAGTAGGCAGAATGAATGTGGACCAGTATCTCCATTTTTTTTTTTTTTTTTTTTTTTTTTTTTTTTTTTTGTTCCGCTTCCCCTCCCTCCTCATTTACTCTTTGTGTCTCTTGCATTTCTATTTCTCTGTGTTAAAATGTAAGAATTCATATTTTATGGGAGGTGCTGGGAGTAAACAGTGCCAGTCTTATCTTCAAGGGTGGCATCTGTCAAGATTTTGTGCATGCGTGCGTGCCTTGGTGCGTGCGTGCGTGCGTGCGTGCATGTGTGTTTGAGGGGGATATTTATCTGTGCACAGTAAATGATGGCTTTGCTTGTAAATGTTGTGAGAGCCAGGGCCACACCTTGACTGAATGTTCCATCACTGTGGCTTTTATAGCCAAGAGGGTTGTTTGGCCATTAAAGATGCATTGCTAACCTTTCTGATGCAGAGTACAGGTTGCAGATTTGTTTGTATGGTGCAGATTCATTGTTTGTCCAGTGATAATGCCAAGTTGTGTAGGGCATTATTAACTTCAACGTTTGTGTTTTCTGTAACACTACATCTGTACTGCATGTGCAAACACAAGCTCTATCATCCTGTGCATATAAGCCCTTTTCCTCACATGGAGACCAGATTTAGCATACCCCTTTTTAAATTTTAGTTAATGGTAGTGTTACATTTATTTTCACTATCATTTACTCTTATGCCTTGAACTTGCTTGTTTTGTTCAGCTTACAATAAAAAGCCAAAATATATTGATACATAGAAAAGAGAGAAAAGCAGCAAGATGAGTCAAGCAGTAGTCAGTTATCTAAGAACTTATCAGTTCATTTTCTCTCAGTCAACAAATTTAACATTGTAAATGTGTTAGTCAGTATTAAGACTCTGGTGGTAGCTGTAGCAAAAATCACACATTATCAGAAAATAAGTACTGTAGTTGTCGTGTTGGTATTTAGCCCCCAGGTGACATGCATACAAGTGCGTTCAGAAAGTATTCAGACCCCTTCACTTTTTCCACATTTTGTCATCTCAAAGCCTGACGCCAAAATCGTTTAAACTCATTTTTACCCTCATTAATCTACACTCAAGCCCACGCAGTAACAAAATAAAAATAAAAAACTGAATTTTAGACATTTTTGCAGATTTCTTTAAAAAAAACCGGAATTGACTGAAGTATTCAGGCCCTTTATTCAGTACTTCATTGAAACACCTTTTGGTAGCGATTACAGCCTCAAGTCTTTTTGGGTATGATATGACAAGCTTTGCACACCTGCATTTGTGGATTTCATTCTTCTCTGCAGATCCTCTCAAGCTCTTTAAGGTTGGATGGAGACTATCAGAGTATGGTCATTTTCAAGTCTCCCCAGAGATGTTCAATTGGGTTCAAGTCTGGGCTCTAGCTGGGCCGCTCAAGGACGTTCACAGAGTTGTCCCTAAGCCATTCCTGTGTTGTCTTGGCTGTGTGCTTAGGGTCATTGTCCTGCTGGGAGGTGAACCTTAAGCTCAGTCTGAGGTCCTGAGCACTCTGGATGAGGTTCGTCCAGCTTTCCCTCTCCCTGTCCCTGCCACTGAAAAACACCCCCACAGCATGATGCTGCCACCCCTATGTTTCACCGTGCTTCACCGTTGGAATGCTATTGGGCAGGTTATGTGCGGTATCTCGTTTCCTCCAGATATGACGCTTAGAATTGAGCCCGGACAGTTCAATTTTGGTTTCATCAGACCAAAGAATCTTGTTTCTCATAGTCGGGGAGTCCTTTAGATGCTTTTTTTGTAAACTCCAAGCACCTTTTTCCCTGAGGAGATGCTTCCGTCTGGCCACTCAGCCGTAAAGGTCAGATTGGCGGATCAGTTCTTGGTCACCTCTCTTACTGAGGCCCTTCTCCCTGTATTGCTCAGTTTAGCTGAGCGGCACCGGCTCTAGGAAGATTCCTGATAGTTCCAAACTTCTTCCATTTAAGAATTTTGGAGGTCACTCTTGCACCTTGGCAGAGAGGTCATCTATTGAACTTTCAATGCAGTGGAAAAACTTTTTTGTAGATTTCCCCATATCTGTGCCATGTCATTATGGGCTTTTGAGTGCAGATTGATGAAGGAAAAAATGAATCAAAATGATTTTAGCATAAAGCTGCAACATAACAAAATGTGAAAAAAGTGAATACTTTCTGAATGCACTATAACTTGACATTCCTGCAAATTGCTGTGAAAGGGCAATTATTAGAGTTAAAATCAGCTATATTTCTTCCTTTGTGTTTTCAGTGAAAGTCTTGTTTTCCCATCATTATTCCAATGTCTGCACACAGCTTCTTTAAAATTGTACAGCCTTGAGAGGTGAAAAGCAGTGGAACTGTTGTTTGTTGACTGGAGTCAATTCATCCCCTTCACGGTAGAAGCTGCCAGCAGAAAGATTCATGCTTTGCTCTGAGTGCTATTGCAGGCTGAGGTAAAACCACTATGACGCTTCTTTTGGGAAGTTCTATGTATTCACAGAAGACTAATGGGATTTTTGTCTAGAGCGTCACTATCATGTTGTAATTTTGCTACTGATGAAACATAATGTACTATTCACAATTTGATTCATACTGTGTCACAGTTGAAGTTTATGTTTTTCACTTGAACCTGAGATGATGTGACAAAATCTCATTTACATATACATTTTCAACAGAGAGATGATTCATTTTGCTGCCAACCCGCCATTATGTTAAAAGGTTTTCATCAAATGAACATCGGCCTTAGATCAGTGAAGTTTCTAATTAACACAGAGACGTCATGTTCGCTCATCAGTAGACCAAATGTAAGAAAAGTTGCCCCAGTTATTGTGAAGTAATTTTACATTTTCAGCAGAAATACAAATAAGAAACCAAGCAGAGTTGTATTGTACAAGTTGTTTATTTTGTAGGTCTTAACCTGCTGTTGATTTTAATGTTACCAGTGCTCCAGTATTGCTGAAAAGGATGATGACTGTCATGACAGTAATGATACACCCTGTGAAATCACGACGATGTCTTCAGCTGTTATTAAATGACTGCTGTTGAGTCACTGAAGTTGACAACGAACATCCGATGGGTTATAATGCATTTCACACCTGTCACACCTCATCAACACCCCAAGATTTTCTTGCTATTGCATTTTTCTCCCCCCTGTGTCCCCCTGACTGATTTCCTTCCACCCAGTCTCCCTGTCACATATGATGCATAATTTGCACCATAGCTTCACTGTGCAAATGGAGGAAACTGTGGTGACAATTTCAATTTGGCAGAAACCCTGTGAGCACATAGTCAGTTGACACTAGATCCTGATTGCTGTTGCCCCAATGTGCCGAGAAGCATGTCCAGATTGTCCCCTACTCATACTGACATATCCCTCTGTAAACATCCATGCTGCAGCCTATACTGCCACCTTGAGGCTGACTTACAGGTTTTCTTTCATCCTCCTCCTGCATCCTGTTTAATGTTGCATAGACAAGATCTTGCAAATTAAGCATGGACAGGAAGTTGCAATATCATCTGTACCACATGTTTATCACTACGCCTTGCTGTTTGGTATTCTACCTGGAATCTCTTGCAGTGTTGTAGCATGAGAAAGACAAGTGTCTAGACAGTTTACCTTGACACCTGAGGTTGTGCCTAACCCTAGTCAAGACCCCAGGAGTGTTTTCATTACTGAGTTACTGTAATATCTTAACCTTTTTAGCTCTCTCTCAAGTCGAAATGGCTTTGAGTCATGTCGGCAGCAGACAGTAATGATAGGTTTCTTAAAAGGCAACCTGAATTCTGCCCACACACTCAACAACCCTCAAATACATGTGGTCAAGCAGTCCTCCCAACCACAGCCATTCATTTTGACCAACTGCATTCAGACATTGAAAATGGACACTGTTTTGTTGTTTTTTTTTTTTTTTCTCTTATCAGTCATTTTTCTTTTCATGCCGCTCTTTTTTCATACTCTCCTCTTTTCTCCGGTCTTTCAGTGTGCAGCAGTGCCCCAGTGAGCATGAAGATCCAGCCGCTGAACCAGACGGCATTGATGGTGAGCTGGGAACGCCCTCTGACCGTCTACCACCCTCCAATCACCAGTTACATGGTCTCCTACAGCTGGGTGAAACGTGATGTTGCAGATGAAAATACCTTCACCAAGACCGGGGACCAGAGCATGGTGAGTATCATCGTCAGCCGCTCGTACGAAATCAAGGCAGTTTTCAAGGACTGTCTAGATTTCTTTCTTTTTCTAAATGTCTTTCTTTTTCTTTTAGATGGATGTGGTTTAAACAGGTCTGATTGGTTTGCAGAGCCTCAGATGTATCTGGCAGGATCAGAGGGTGGCTGGATCAGTGACAGTGTGTATAGGAGGTGACAGGTTGTGATGAACTTTTCATGTGGCTGTTGGTTGATATGAGGTCCGGGACACTCCCCTGTCACTCACCTGTCTGAGAATAGACACACAGGCCTGTCACGGACACTAACGATTCTAACTGATATACGTGCAATGTGTTGACAAATACACCTGTGGCCTTTTGTCAGTTTTAGCATTTTCTGTCATCTGTTAATTTTGAATTTAAATGATTGCTGAAAAAAAGAATCATTCTCTGGAGTAGGTCTGTGTATTATTGGGTCAAAGATAGCTTTTAACTAAAGCGTGTTCAAACAAAAGCAGTATAAACAAAATAATATATGCTCCTTTTATTTTAGCTGTATGAAAACCAATAATCGTTTGATAAATTCTAGTCTGGTTTCAGGGAGTGGAGGCACCTCTTTGAACACAAACTGTCTTCTTTTAGTAACAAATGCAGGCAGCTGTGAAAATGTAGTTCTTTAGATCTCTGCACAGTTTCTGACACCATTAATATATAATTCTGTTCATCTGCCTTAAACATTAAGTTATCATTCCTGTTCTTAATGTATCTCTCCAAAAGAACATTCACTGTCTCTGCAGAAATATATCTTTCCGCTGCAGGAGTTTACACCTACAAGGCTGTTCTTTTTCATTCTATATATTTTTCTCCCTGGTCACATATCCTCCCATTTGTGGGAATCCAATACCCAGCTGTGTATCTCTTTTAAAGCCCACTGACCCCCTGCTGTCTTGACAGTCTGCATGACTGCCTCTTTAGACATACACAGTGCAGAGGCAAAACACTGGCCCACCAGTTCAGAGACCTGGGATCAGTTCCCTTGCGGCAGCTCGTCGTCATGGGTGGGAAGCTGGTGAGGGACTTCTGCTGGTTGAAACTAGCCAACGCGTTAGCTAATAGCCAATTAATGAAGATGAACTTAGAGGCTCGTAACTGAAGCTTTGAGACTCCGGGTGTTCCCAGATTGCAGTATATCTCTGGACGTGTAGGTTGGAATGAATATGCAATCGGGCTTCCTACGGTTAAGAACTGCCACATGAATTAAACCAATGCTGTCCATCTTAAGATTAATTGACATTTATTTCTTCTCCTTTTGACTACCACTGTTCATTGAACTCCTGCACCCCTCAGAAGTCCATGCCTCATATGCTGCTTGTTCAGAAAGCTGCCACAAAAATTATGTCTGGTGTTAAACAGAGAAACCATTTCAGTCCTCTTGTGCTGGTTAATTTCTGTTTTTTAGCATCCATTCACTACATTTACTGATGTTTTTACTCCCCATCGGCCATACTGCACCCCGGGGTCCTCTGGCAGAGCTGTCATATCACTGCAGCCCAGTCTTCATTTTCTTTATTCTGTGGTCTGTGGTGTGAGACAGAATATGACAGAATATTCTCTATAAGGACCTGATACTGTTGAATAACTCGCTTCAGAAGCTTAGCCGTCAAATATGAAGTAGAGTCATTTACTAAAATCTATATTTGAACTTTGAACGTTGAATGACTTTTTTGATTTGAGAGGCTTCTCGCTGTCTTTTACAATTTTTATTTAGATTAACTTTTTTTTTTTTTAAGAATGGATTGATATTAATAATTAATTTTTTGTTGTCATCAGGTAACATCTTTGTGGCTATGTGGGGTTGTATGATGATTATTATTACTATACATTTATTACCTGGCTGACTGAAAGAATGATTAATGTGTCCATGAGTAATCTCTGTCTATGTAGTTTCCTTCCATAAATACAGTCAATCAGTCTCTTTCCTGACAGTATTCTCTCCACTTCTCTCTCTGCTGTCAGTCTTTCTTATTTTGTTCACTTCATTTCCATTTCAATTTTCAGTTTGTATCTCTGGACACCTTTATCTGAATTTATTTTAGAGAAATACTAGCTCTGCAACACCAGAGGCAATCACCCATCCATTCTGAGGACCAATTTTAAAATAAGTAAAGCCATCTGCAAACTGCACAACACAATTAAATTAGACAGGAAATTAGGTTTTTAAACTGCATCGAACTTGTGGGTGAAAGCTACTGTTGACAGAACAGTAGCTTAGCATAGTATATTTTCATTTTAGGCAAAATGAATTATCATCATCCTCACATTAAATGATTGTTCACTACAAATTCAAACCTTACTTATAATATTTTTGTAAATGTATGTGGGTCTTCTCTCTTGCAGAAAGCAGTCATCACTAATGTGTCCCCTGACATCCTGTACCTGTTCAGAGTGCAGGCAGTATGTCAACATGACCTGCGCAGTGATTTCAGCCAAACACTGCTGTTCAGAGGTAGCTTATGGTCAATATGTATTTTGAAATATTTTATACAAATCAAACACATGAAATGAGTTTTTTTTTTTTTTTAAATGCTTCCTCTTTTGTTTTCCAGCTAATACAACAAGAATATTTGAAGGGTCTCGTATTGTGAAGACCGGGATGGTGAGTTGACCAGAAGATGGCAGTGCAAATTTTATTTTGTGATGTTGGTGACAGCCATGTGTTACTGTTAGGTAACCACTTTTTCTCTGCCTACCTCCCTCAGCCCACGATTTCTCCAGCATCCCCGGCAGACATGGCTCCAATAAGCTCTGGTTCCTCCACTTGGACGTCATCTGGCATCCACTTCTCCATCGTCTCCATGGCAACGGGGATGGGCCCCTCCTCTAGTGGAAGCCAGGCCACAGTGGCATCAGTAGTGACAAGCTCCCTGCTGGCTGGCTTGGGCGTTGGCGGAGGGGTCATTTCTTCTTTGCCCAGTTCTGTCTGGCCTACACATGCTCCACAAGCCACTCAGAACCCCACCCGTCCCTCCGCTGCGCCTGAAAAGTCCAGCACTGAGCAGGCAGCACCCCAGGGCTCAGAGACAGACTCTCCGTCTGAGGAGAACCAGCCTGCACGTAAAGGTGAGGAAGGGGAAGATGAGGGCGAGGGAGAGGGGGAGCCAGAGGACGACGAGGATGAGAAGAAGAGAAAGAACAAGGCTACACCTGATAATGAGGAAAAGCAAGTGAACCACACTGTGGCCAAAGAGCCTTTAGTACCCACCCCCGCATCCACAGCCAAAGAGAAAGGGGAAGGGAGGCCTACAGTCAAAGGCACCACAATACCTGCAAGCACCAGTGATGAGCAGTTGGTCAACGTAGAGAAGAATCCCACAGATGTAAATACAGTCTCCACTCAGGAGCCTCGTAATGTCAGTGCTGAGATGCAGATTCCCCAGAGCTCCACACTGTCTCCGAAGAGCGGGAGTGATGGAAGGAGTCTCTGGCCTTTCTCTGTCCACACTGGTAAGCAGTTCTCTTTCTCTCGCACAAATGAGACCCATTTTCTTTCAGTTTACATCCCTTCCAAACAGAAAAATCCTTTTTTAATTCTCCATAAGCCTTGTTCCCTTGTCGTCAGATATAATACAAGCCAAGACTTCCCTCCAAAGCAGAATTCAGCTAACACTACCAACAGTTATGGAGCCCAATTTAACATAACAAATAAATTGATTTAAGACAGTAACTACACTGGTTACCATCTCAGTCAAAGACAAAGCTCCAGGCTTTTGTGTCAGTACAACACAGAGGCCTGAAGGCAGAAGTGAGCTGTCTGCCAGAGGGGTTCTGCCTCGAGGAATTCCTTTAAGCATATTTCAAAAGAGTTTGCTTCAAGGGAGAGCGTTTTTTCAAGATTCTTTTTGCCAGATTTTTTTTTTCTTTTTTTTACCGTCCCCATCATCATAATGTTAGAAATAGCGCAAGTATCATGGACATTGATTGAAAACTGTAACCAGGCACTCAGTGTGCTGCTATTTTGCAAAAATAAAGTAATGATCTCCACAAGCAGAGGAACTACATTTTGTAATGCTCATCTGAATCTGATGGGGCCAAACCAAAGCTGGTTTGGTTTGAGATTCTGTCATTGCCATTATGGTTTATTGTCATCAGTCTCAAGTGATGTTCATATGCAATGTTGAACATGTGTGCTTTACAATAATAGGCATTTAGATGTATTATTTTCAATAGCTTTCATTTAAACTAAGATAAATATTGAGCTTAGCTTTTAATTTTTGGATCCAGTGGTTTGGTAATAGTGGTAAAGGTGGAAGTCCCTGTGTGTAGGAGTTGAAAATTTCAGACTTTGGCGACTCCCAGTGGTAGTATCAAAACAGATACAGTAGCAGACAGAAATACGTGCCAGTGCATCCTTCACATATGCGTATTAAGGTTGACAAAGGAGTTTGGTGTTTACTCAGTAGAATATTTTTATCCATGTAATATGTGCATGTATTATGTTCCAGACAGGACCACTTTATCCAACGTTACCCGAAGTCCTCCTCCGGGGATGGGCAGGATGGTGTGGATTGTCCCCTTAGTGGTGGTGTCTGCTCTCACTCTGCTTTGCCTCATAATGCTGCTGATTGTGATGGTCTACTGGAGGTGAGCAAAAAGTTCAATATACATATCTTTATTCCAGAGGGGACATTTTACTGCTTAAAAAAAAAAAACTTTTGTAGAACAGTAAAAATTTCATGTTACATCAAGTGCTACTAAATACAGAAGTGCCTGGATAAGGGTATCGCTGATCATGAATAAGCAAGCTGCCTCTCACCCACACTGACCTCATCCATAGATCTTGTCACACTCGCATATTAGGTTAAGTGACATAACCGCATGCATGTCTGGATTTTCCGGTCTGCCTGCTCGGCATTCAGACCTGTCTAGTTTGGATGTGTCTCTTTTAAGAGCATGTCTCCATTTGTGCGCATCAGTCTGGTCGTAAGACCGCTTTCCTGCCTGCACGTTGTACATCAGACCCATCACCCACCCAAGTGAGGAGCTGGCGACCTGAAGGCCCTGCAGTGCCAGCAGGGGTCCCAGCTGTGTCTTCATCTGCCGGGCTAATTTCCAGCCACGCTATTGGAGCTTCAGTAATTACACAAGCCAGGCCACTGGCACATGTGGGATGGCTAATGAGTTACAAACAGCACTGTGGACCATTTCCTCAGCTGGTCCCAGCATATTTACTGTCTCCAAAGGTTCTGCTCATAGATGGGTAGTTTTACAGTCTGAGATTTTTTTTTTTTTTTGTTAATAGTGGACATGTGTTTGACGCATTTATAAATTTATTAGGATACTTTTTCGAAATGTGAGATGACTGCAGCCACCGTTTATGGATCAACAACACCCTACTGTGGTATTTTATGGTGTCAGATAATATATGACTGTGATATAAATAAAGCCTGGTTATCAGCTCCGTAGAGGCGTGAAAACACAGACAGCTGAAAACAAGATGACTGTAGCGGTTTCAATAGATGGATGCATTACTGAGAGTTGTGGTATTTGAATAGAAGAGCAGGGGCAGCTTTGAGATTAGAAATGGCCATCCCAGCTGTTGTTGTGACAACTCAGACAGTTCACAGACAATCTCTGCTTCCCCTGGGGAAAAGACCATGATGGAAGATGAAATCAACCCATTCACACTGTCTTTACTCTTCATGCTCTGCGAAGTCTCTCTTGGTGACAGTGCAGCTATTAAACTAAGCGAATGTCTCTGCTCACAGATGTTTTGGTCATTAACAACTTAATATCATAATCCATTTGATTTATAAATATATATTTAAAAATATGTAATCAATGGACCATCTACTGAAGTTTAATAAGCTTGTCTTATTTTTAGCTTTTTTATTTTTGCATGTTTGGATAGTCTTGGGTTATGAGTCTATCTACAGTGGAATTAATTGCTGCAGTTACAGAACACATCTGGAAGCCTCTGAGGCTTGAGGTGTTTGTTGAAAACTCACAGATGTTGAACTGAGAACAAATCCCATACTGTGTTAGTGACTTGGTGATGCCGGTGTTAAATGGGATGCCTAACTCCAGTTTCTTTACACCTGACATTCATTCAGAAAGCTTTATTTCATTCCATTTCCATTTCCCGAAAGCAAACTATTCTTCTGAGAGCCTGGGAGAGAGTTAGGGAGAAGGTGTCGACTATGCTGGTTCATTACCTGCACCACATCTACACCCACGGGGAGCCATTAGATTGGGAGGCTGTGACGCAAGCCAGGGGGGAGCTCTCCTCCCCCATTTGTTTTTTTACCCTCCCCTCTCCCTCTTTCTCTCTTTCCCTCCATCTCTCTTTCTATATCTTTTAAATGCAGTGCAGCCTTTTATTTTTGTTCCATCTGTCTTAAAGAATGACTAGCATCTGCTCCCTCCTCTGCATCAAGTACAGGTAGGATTAAACAAGGGAAATGCTGGCACTGGGATGAAATATGGGACTTTTATATGCATACATTAATATACATTGTGTATATATGTGTGAGGAGGAAAAGGTTGAGGCTGGAGAGAATATGCAAGGAGGACCTTGAGATCACTACTTACTTCATGTTAAAGTTATTGAATTTTTTGAAGGACACACTGAAACTGGAATGTAGCCAAAATTGACCTTTTTACAAATGTGTAATATGGATGAATAACTGAGATACTCTTTAAATAACCCATGGCTTCCTTCAGGCTATTAGTACTTAGCAGTGATTTGACAAGACTTTCAGTCTGTGACTTTTATACTTTGAACTGTGAATATGGGAGGAATCATCCAACAGTGTATACATTGTCAATTACCTATGGACAAGTGTTGGGTTGCAAAACTTTCATCGGATCAAAACAAAGTTGTTTTTCTCTAGAAAAATTCACATTTAATTTTGATTTTGTTGTCCTCAAAATGTATCAAGATATTTTTAAAACTGGTGTGTGTTGTCCCGGAGAGGGAATCTGGGGGGAGGGAATGTGTTTAGATTAGTTGTCTTTAGTTTGAGTAAAGAGCTAAATTTAGTGCTGTGCTGTGTGTCGCTGAGAGTTGTTTACCTGTTCCCTGTAGTCAACTCAGACTGTGTTTCCAGGAGCCACTCTATCAGTGTGCGATCAGCTGTGTCCCAACTACTCTGGGGTTTTCATTAGCAGTTTTCTGTCGTTCTTGTGTCATTCTATTCAACATTCGGATGCTAATTTTAACAGACCGGATCTGAGAACAATGGGATAATGACTCCCTAATACACTTTCCTGTGGCATTATCTATGCTGATAGTGTGTGGTTTCACTGTGCTTCATCCCACTGTGCTGCTCTCTCTGTGTCCCTGTAGGAGATTTTTCCAGACAGCTCACTTCTATGTGGAGGAGAGCAGTTCTCCACGGGTGGTGGCCAATGAGAATATTCCAGTCATCCCTATACCAGGTGAGCCATGTTTTATTCATTACATTAGAATATTCATACACGTAGTGTTCAAATATCCATAATTTTATGTCAAAGTATACCTAAAAGTCACTGTTTGTTACAGTTTTTAGATCAGTGATTCCCAACCAGGGGTATTTGTGTTACATGCTGTGTGGTACTTGTTTACCCCAGGGGTTACTTCTGCATTTGCTTTGGGATATGTGACAACATCGTAGGATAGCTCTACAAATCTGGAAAAAAAAAAAAAAGTTTATTAAGCAAGCAAGCAGAGAAATTGAAACAGCTAGCTAAAAATAATGGATAAACAGTTAAAATAGTTAGCAAAGAGTAAAGGAGGTGAAATTAGTTAGCTTAAAGTGATGGATAAACAGTTAAAATACTTACCTTAAAGTGATTGATAATAGTTAGCTTAAAGTGATGGATAGTAGCTTAAAGTTTTGGATAATAGGTAGTTTACAGTGATGGATAAACTGTTAAAATAGTTAGTTTAAAGTGGTGGATAAATGGCAAAAGCTTAAAGTAATGGATAAGTGGTTGGAGTAATTAATAAAATTATGGTGTTGATGAAGGGATACTTGAGTTCATCTGACAGTGCTGTGTAACAAAAAAGGTAAAAGAACCACTGTCGTAGATGTTCCAGTTCTACAGTACACCCTAGCCAAAAATGAAATTATAAAATCTATTCTATTAAATCTCTCATTAAAATTCTATTACTGAAACTGAAAAAAATCACCAAAATGACAAATGAATCTTCATTTTAAGTGATTTATGTCTACTGATACAGCACACATCAAAAAGTCACCATTAACTGTTTTCAAATGGTTTTCTCTATTACCTTGATGTCTGCATTCAGTCAGTTTCTGTTCATTTACATGTGAAATGACTCTGGGAGCAGCTCTGTGGGAGTTGTGTGACTGGCTTTTCTTCGCCTTTAATGTTCCAGGCAGCAGTGCAGTGGCAGCTAGTCGATATCGGACTTTACTTTCACAGTCGCTTGAAGCTCAGGGACATTTCAAGACTGTGATATCGTAGTTAAAGAGCACAGTTGACGCCAGTATTGACTCTGCATTCATTCGACTTTTATTGCTTTGGCTTTTCATTCTTTCTCCCTTTACTTCCTCTTCCCCTTCTTTTTCTTCTACTTTCTTCCAAACTGTGGTGTTTATCGCAGAGCACACATATTCTGAATGACTGACCATATAGTTGATTGTTTGAAATGTTTAAAATTGAAATGTAGAAGAAAGTCACTGCTCCATGAATTTCATTAAGGGCTCAGGATTTCGATTATTTCTCTTGATAGATATTTGTAGACTTATTTCAATTTATTTATGTATTTAATATTTAGATGTTTTAAATGGATGTTAAAAATATTGATATTGCATGAAACTTTGTGGGATATTCAAGCACACGTGTGAACATACCTTTGTACAGTTTTATTTAAAACTGTGCCTAATCAACCTTAGTTAATTTCAATTTCTAGCTTCTAAAGCCACATTTCACCCAGAACAATTCTGATGAAGTGATTCGGCTGTCGTGATAAGTCTAGAAAGAAAGACATTTTGATAAATGAACAGATTAACAAACCAGAGTCCACCCTTACGCTGTAATCACTGAGGCAAGTAAGAGCCCTAAAGGCCCCAGCTGCGAGGGTGTATTAGTTAAGGCAGTGGCCAGCATCAGCAGCAATGACAGCTGGGTACCCTGCACTATTGTCCCTGTGTGATGGTGACCAGCCTTATCAGAGATCCCTTGTGTGTGATTTGGGGCTGATTTGGCTCAGATGAGACAGATTCTCCCTCCTATAAATACTCAAAATGGTAATGTTAAATGTTTGCGATGATATGCAATAAAAAACATTTTTTCTTTATTTAATTTTTTTTTCTTTTCTTTTCTTTTCTTTTCTTTTCTTTTCTTTTCTTTACACATAGCTGCTAATAACTTAACCCTGATAAAGCAGGATATCAACCACACACAGTAATTAGGACTTTGCTAACAGTTCTGTTTCTCCTGCAGATGACATGGAGGCCATCCCTGTGAAGCAGTTTGTTAAACACATCATGGAGCTCTACAAGAACACCCTACAAGGTTTCGCTGAAGAATTTGAGGTATGCTTTTTTTGGAGCGCTGTGAACCTTTGCTACAGTATTTAACTCAGGCTGCATAATAAATAAAAGTACATTTGTAGTTTTTAGTCATGCTGACATTTGTGCTTTTTAGTAAAGTGTCCGCAACTATTGGATGGATTGCCATAAAACACTTTCATATCCGCCTAAGGACAAATTATAATAACTTTGGTGATCCCCTGATTTTTCAGGTCAAAATTAATTAAATTTGTCCAGTGCTTTGGTTTACAACTAAATATCTTAGCTTATTTGCTGACATTCCCATCATCCTTAGCTGTACCACAACATACTAGACTAAGATGTTTAACATGTCAAACATTATATCTGCACAGCATAAGCATGTTAGTATTGACATTGTGAGCATGTTAGCATGCTGCTCCTGTGTTTGTGTGCAGGGTTGCTAATTTTGAACAGATGGTTGCAAGAAAGATGGAGAGAAAGATCAAGCGATACAGGGGTAATTAGAGAAGGTCTGTCTGCTGGTTGACTGGATGGGAACACACTAACTGTGTAGCCAGGTTAAAGAATGAGGCAGAAGCTTCACCCCTTAAAGGACTCCTTCTAATTGGGGTCATCTGATGTGAAGCTTATGTGCATAATTTTTCAAATGCACCACAATGAAACTGTGTTGGAAATAATTGTAGTATTTTAGGGGTGGGTGCACTGTGGTGTAGTAAATAAGAAGAGAAGAAGGCCGTCCTACTGGAGGCGTGAGTTCAAAACCCAGTGGTAGTAAACATCTGCTCTGCTGAAGCACCCTTAACTGAGACCCTGAATCCCTGTCAGAGTTTCAGCTTTACACTTCACTCTGAGCTCTGAGCTCCTCATGCAGAGAGCACCAAAACACAAGACAAGTTTCCCTTTCAAGATCAATAGTATCACAAAAATATGAAATCTGAGAAGTTTTACTTCAAGAAATAAAAACATGCAGTTTTTAATGAAAACACTGTCACACTTTAAGTAAATATAATTCCCTTTCCAAGGGTAATTCATTACATCGTTTATCCTCATTTAACAAAATCCATCTGCCTATGTCTCCCTCTCTCCAGGAGGTCCAACGCTCGACAGCAGACCTGAAAATTACAGCAGAGCATTCCAATCATCCTGACAACAAGCACAAAAACCGATACATCAACATTGTGGCCTGTGAGTCAGCTGTAAAATCTGATTATGATGTCTACTGCTGCGGAATCCAATAATGTTTTAATAACACGTTTTCATCCATTTAATAATTCACCCAAATATGTCAATGCTTTCCCTAGATGACCACAGCAGGGTGAAATTACGAGCCCTGGCGGGGAAAGATGCCAAACATTCAGATTACATCAACGCCAACTATGTGGATGTGAGTTTTACCAACCACTTGACATGGTAGAATCATTCAAGGTTTAGTCTTCTTCATGAAGATCTTATTAGTTTTCCTTTTTTTGTGTGTGAAAGGTTGTGAAATCCCCCTGCTTGTCGCTGTCATGAATGAAACAAGAGTGCGTTGTGAAAAGAATTATTCATGGTGCTAAATGCCATGCTGACTGCTTTATTTAAAATATCAATTGAGGTATCAAAATCATAAAAATCGACAGCGAGAACAATACAAATTTGATATCTATTTTAAAAATATTGATTAATGTATAAGAATTTACAATTTCTGTCAGATGAAGGAGTGGATTTCATGACCTATTAATGTCTTGTGTCAGTAAACCAGTCACATAAGCTCTACCAGGGGTTGTGGGTAATTGATACAACATTGATTGCATCTTACTGGTAACAATATTCCACCACTCTCCTGTTCCAGGGATACAACCGTCCCAGAGCGTATATAGCTGCTCAGGGTCCTCTCAAGTCTACATTTGAGGATTTTTGGAGGATGGTATGGGAGCAGAACACTGGAATCATCGTCATGATCACAAACCTGGTGGAGAAAGGGAGAGTAGGTTCAATTCCATCATTCGCAAACTGAAAATAGAAAACAGAAATTAATGTATACCTGTGTTTCAGACGTGTTAAAATATCATTCATTGCGTGTGTTGTGTCCCTCAGAGGAAATGTGACCAGTACTGGCCGACAGAAAACAGTGAGCAGTATGGAAACATTGTGGTGACGCTGAAAAGCACCAAAGTGCACGCCTGCTACACACTGCGGCGTTTCCTTATAAGGAACACTAAAGTTAAAAAGGTAACTAAAAGTCCAACACACTTTATTCTCACTGGTGAATCTTCTTCAGATGTTTTGTTTAATGAGTTTTTGCTTTTTGAACCTGAATCAGGTTGGACCAGCTATTCTTAATTTTCTGTCTAAAGTCCTTCCTAAGTTGTAAGTTTCTACTCTTAAGTTTCAAACTAGTGATTAACTAAATCAGGTTGCACCATTAAAATTCCTCTGATTTTACACATCAAAGTCTGAGGAGTGCAGCTGCATATGTGAAAAAAAAGTTGTATAAAGCCTTGTGTGGCTCCAGAGGGAGCTGTGTGAAGTCAGAGAAATGTCCTCAAGTGATGTCACTTGAGTCAGCGTTGGTTGGGTCTGAAGACTACAAATTTGAGAATTAAAAAAAAGAACTTGGTGTGTGAAGTTAAAAAGTAAAAAGAGGAGAGTTTACCAAATCTGCTCCTCATCTCTGCTTGAGACTAGAGACTCAAGGCTACATTAGCTGCTTCTAGCAAAACACACCCAAGTCTCCAACTGGACTATTGGGGGTCAAGTTGCATTGTGGGCAATGTAGGCGCCAGGTTTTGAAGAATGCATGGGAAAAAAAGACAATATCTCTGGTTCTACTTTTTTGTTTTAAACTGTGCGTCATGAGTCCAACAATGTTACCAAAGTGCTATGCTAAATCAGTACAGAACTCTTTTAATGAATAGTAAAGAACTTAGCACCTTATTGTTGGCTCTCTGCTCTTACGTTTCAGGGCCAAAAGGGGAATCCAAAAGGGAAGCTAAATGAACGTATTGTGGTCCAGTATCACTACACTCAGTGGCCTGACATGGGAGTACCAGAGTACACCCTCCCTGTGCTCACCTTCATCAACCGCTCATCAGCGGCTCGCACTGCAGACATGGGCCCTGTCCTGGTTCACTGCAGGTACAGTTCATTATACCCAAGCTCCAAGCTAAATGAGTTTTACTTATGAGTGTTATTCTCTCTTCTTTGCTGACCTGGTTAACAGCTCCCTCTATGGGCCTGCCATTATGCTCATGTCGCTTTTTGCTCTCTGCTCTTCAGTGCAGGGGTTGGGCGCACAGGAACGTACATTGTCATTGACAGCATGCTGCAACAGATCAAGGACAAAAGCACAGTCAGTGTCCTGGATTTTCTCAAACATATCCGCACACAACGCAACTACCTAGTCCAGACTGAGGTAAGAAGCCCTAAATCATCAGTTGAGCTGGGAAACTGGGTTCCTTCTCCTACATTAAAAAAGGTCATCTAGGATTAAAGATGGATGGGGAGTTATAAAAGCTGCTCAGTTTGGCTCAAGTAAAGGTCATACTTGATGCAATTTCATTGCAACGCAGTACAAACTGATATATACTCACCACAATACAGATGAATGTATAACACTAGAATAGTTCCGCACTGGTTGTCCTCAGGCCACAGTTTTGTACAGTAGGATTCAAAACTCTGAGAATGGTAAAGTAGTCTCTGACCTTTGGACCTCACTGTATTTGATTGTATAACTTATTATAGAATAATTATTTCTGGGTCCTCCTTACCCTATGTGTACTAAATCACACCTGCCTTCACTATCAGGTTTGTCCACAGACAACTTGCTGTAAGTGTGAAACCATGTTTTTTGGGCCATGTTTAAGTTTTCCTCTATTAAGTGTCAAGCAGTCTTACAAGTCAATATTTCTTTTACAATTGGTTGTTTAATTTAATTATTACATGAATAAATAATTTAAAGTAAATGTGACGTATTTTAATTGTCTGTTATATCTAATTGTTTTGTTGATACAAGTACTTCAGTGTAAATGTTGAGCTTGATGCCCTGGTTGTTTTCCTGTAAATTTTTCACTTTATTTCTCTAAGCATTTTTCCTCCTCTGTGTCCCTCTAAAGGAGACCTAGAACATTCAGAATTAAGAGAAAAAAAAACACATTTAAATGAGACATGAAATAAAAAATGAATATTACATACATGATTATTATCATAAAATGTTACAGTTTCATCATCATTCATCTTTTTTCCCAATGACCATTTTAATTCATAATGCCACTTTTCATTACAGTCTTTGTCTGTCAGTCAAGACAGACAGGCTGCGTAATTGGCTCTGCCACGTTACTGCTGGAATTTGATAAAAATGAAAAAACTTCAAAAACCTGTATGGAAGCAAAAAATCATAATAATAAACTGAATTTTAAAAAGTTGCATGTTGATATTGTTTGTATTTACATATATATTTATGTATTTCATATGATTGTTTATTTCTTAATCTGTTATTGTTATATATGATTTTTTTTCTAAATCCTGTCTCCCCCTCAGGAGCAGTATGTTTTCATCCACGATGCTCTGATGGAGGCCATCCTGAGCAGAGAGACAGAGGTGCCTGCCTGGCAGCTCCACAGTTATGTCAACAGCATTCTCATGCCCAACTCGACAGGCCGCACACGGCTGGAGAAGCAGTTCAGGGTGAGCAAACCTTCTGGGCATCTGACTGGTCTGGTTAGACAATCTGTCACCGTCTGCAGTGGCAACACCAGCTGAAATTGAGGCGGTCTTTGGATCAGAAGCTTGTTAGCAGAGTGCACGGAGGCTTTCCATTTCCTGACGGGAATAGACTGAGAGCGTCTCTGATGTTGGCTATAATAAAGTCGTGTCTGTCACCCCTGCTGACTTATGCAAAGCTTGATGAATGTTTCATCAAGCTCCTGCTATTTCAACTTCAGCAAAGACAAACTAATTGCTCCCGCATAATGTCAATTCCTCCTGAGCTTCACAGGCTCTTTATTAATGTGAAAGACTTAGTGTTAATCTTTGCTGTTAAACAACATTAAATCTTATTTTTCATGTCAGATTTTAATTTCCAGTGACTCTGAGGCCTAAATTCAGATTTTCTGATCTTCTGGTCTTTGCATTCTCTCTCACCAGCTGCTGACTCAGTGCAACACGCGCTTTGTGGAGTGCTTTAGCGCCCACAAAGACTGCAACAAGGAGAAGAACCGCAATTCCTCAGTGGTTCCCTGTGAGTATTTTATCTGTTTTACCACAGCATGCTTGCAACTGAGCTGTGGTTTTGGACAAGCAAGGTCATATCGAACATGTACAGCTGCCACAGTCTGCATTCAGGAGTATCACGAGGGTTGGTTAGCGTGGGTTTGCATAATAATTAGTAGGGGCAGCTGTCTTGAAAAGATGAGTTAAAATGCATTAAAAGGGTTTTCATTACAAAAAAAATCTGTCAATTGTTGAGTACTTTTCCCTGTTTTTTGAAATTTGAGACAATTGGAATGAGAATCAAGACATTTTCTAAGGTAGTTTTCTGCAGTTTCCAGTCAGTAAATTATTAACGACAGTTCATATTCCAAAATTAGAATCTATTTCCATAATCCTATAAGTTAATCTTTATATGCGTTCTCGGCTCCCAGACAGGGGAAACGGAGAAACTTGTTGCTATAGCAACAGTGAGGACTGGTAATGAATGTGTGCATTATCAGCCAGTGCAATATTATAGAGCCCTGGTTTGTGATTTAAAGTGTGTTTTTCCATCTCCTTGCCACTCTACAGCGGAGCGAGCAAGGGTCGGACTCACCACTCTGCCTGGAATGAAAGGAACAGATTACATTAATGCATCCTACATAATGGTACAATGTCCAGCTTCTTTATCCTTGCTCACTGTTTGTTTCTTGAACAATTTTATTGACAGGTTCTGTTAGTTCTTTATTGTAGATTCTTGGAAAATTAGCAGTTGTCTGTTAGCTTTCACAATCATGCATCAGTACAAGTGTTCTATGTTTCAGAAAGACTAACAGCTCACCTCTGTCACCTCAGGGTTACTACAGGAGTAACGAGTTCATCATTACCCAGCATCCCTTACCCCACACTACCACAGACTTCTGGAGGATGATTTGGGATCATAATGCTCAGATTATTGTCATGTTGCCTGACAACCAGGGACTGGTACGCAACAGTGAATCATAATAATATGTTTATTTGTTTTTTAATCAAGTCTAATCAAGTTTTTTATTTGTCCTTGAGTTCTGCTGCATCGAACAAACACTGACATTCTCACAAAAAAAAGAATATTGACAGCAAAATGAAGCATTTGTGAAAAAGATTGATAAATAAATTGCTTTTTCTTTGCAGGCTGAGGATGAATTTGTTTACTGGCCGAGTCGGGAAGAGGCCATGAACTGCATCGCCTTCACTGTCACACTCATCAGTAAGGACAGACTGTGCCTCTCCAACGAGGAGCAGATCATCATCCATGACTTCATCTTAGAGGCCACACAGGTAAGGGCTCCTCTGCATCGTTACCTACACCATACTTAATGTTTTTATGATCGTGACATGAAGAATCCCAGCCATAACATTATTTATGTCATGTCATCTGTGTACTCTCCTATGTGTGACAGGACGACTACGTTCTGGAGGTGAGACATTTTCAGTGCCCTAAATGGCCGAACCCTGACGCCCCTCTCAGCAGCACCTTCGAGCTCATCAGTGTCATCAAGGAGGAGGCCATGACCCGTGATGGTCCCACCATCGTGCACGATGAGTATGATTGAATTTACTTCTTTGTTGTCCTCTGTCAGCACAGGGAGAGTTAACTTGTAGGGGCAAACACACCAAATGATTTTAATAAGGTTTTGCTTACTGTTTTACGTGCTTTGCAAAGCCCAAAGGCTGCATCTGGATCTGGATTTTAAGGGTTCAGAAGTGGTTAAAGAATCCTGTTCCTTAATTGCTTTTGAGTTGTCCTTGCTAAAATTCTGTATTAGTAAAATGGTAAATAAGGCTCTCTAAATTCTCTTAGTAACTAGGCAACCATAACAGCTTCTACAGTGATTGCTAGCTGATGTCTTTCCTATGGACCTCTGTGCCTACAGCAGCACAGCTGCTATTAGTGAGGACATAAGTGACTTGAATACTCTTCATCATTGAATTCCCCATTTCTCTTCTCTCAACCGCATGAAAGCCGCCCACCCTGAGTCCAATTCTGTTGGAGGTTTCTTCCTGTTAAAAGGGAGTTTTCCTCTCCACCATTGCCAAGTGTTTGCTCATGGAGGAAACTGTTGGGTTTCTCTCAATAACAGTGTAATAGTTGACCTTGCTCTGCGAAATGCCTTGAGATAATTTATGTTGCGACTTGCCGCTAGACAGTTAGGGCTGTATCTGACATTGTCACAGACTCAATAACAGGCCACTCTGTCTCCCCATCCATTTATACCATTTATGTTACACTAACATGATGCAATTGTGCATCATGTTAGTGTAATATAAATGGTACCAACTGTATGAAAGAGGTGGCTTGTATCACACATTGTATCCATTAATTAACTGCAGTGTATTTTTTTACCTATTGGTTACAGAGGAGTATACTTAAGTTAATAACATAACAGTCTGCAATTAGTAAAGGTGATGATGAGATCTGAGCACTAAAACTACACACCAGAAAACAGCCTTACACGTTTGAAGTCATTTGTCACATGTATCATTTGAAGTGATGGAGTGAAACAAAGGATTTGGTGATATTCATAGTGTTTAATAACACATGAACAGAAGGCTGTTTGAGACAGGAACAAGTCCTACAGAGCTGATTCTGAATATTTCCACTCAGGTATGGAGCAGTGTCAGCAGGAATGCTCTGCGCCCTCACCACACTGTCCCAGCAGCTGGAAAATGAGGGATGTGTCGACATCTATCAGGTGGCTAAGATGATCAATCTCATGAGGCCGGGAGTCTTCACTGATATAGTAAGTTTATGTGAAAGATGAACAGGAAGGATCTGGGCTCAACATTCGTCCAATGATCCAATGATTTTATACCAACAATCAAATGACTACATGTAGTGTTAAAGGGGTCGCTCATAGCGGTGGACACACAGATAGTTATTAACCCACCTCTCTCCCCTTAGCTCTCTGTAGCCTTTTTCATTTACTAATTCTTTTGGTTTTCAGGCCAACAGCAGTTTTCAATGTTGCTTGCAGCTGCAGCAGATGGCTGATATCAAAAGTATAAACTAATAATTTGTCAGTGTTTGCTGCTTGTTCTGCTGCTCTCAGGTGGCCCAAAAAAAATCTATTAATCCTGCTTTTTTATCATAGAGGAACATTTAAAGCTGCATTAAATCATTTTTGCCACTAGGGGGCAGCAAAAAAACCAACAAGCTAACATTTCTGATATTATTTCATAGCCACTTTATCATCAACATTAGCATTAACTTGGGATATAAGTAATATAAGTAAATGAAATCCAATTTTCACTCTCCATTTCACTCTGTTTTGTGGGTCACCAGACACTATTTGTCTGTCATTTGGTGTTTGACAGGTTGTGTGCAGTGGGTTTCAAAAGGTTTTTTTGTTTTTTTTATTTGTCAAGAGTGACCCCTTTTACATTAGATTCAGTGTTTATGTCTAAAATAATGATTAATGCAGTCATTTTTCTAACACTTTTTTAGTTTAACATTATACCATAGGGGACGATCTATAGTGTTAACCTGTTCTGTGTTTGTGTTTATGTGCACAGGAGGAGTACCAGTACCTTTACAAAGCCATGCTCAGCCTGGTCGGTAACAGAGAGTGTGGCCTGAGCCCCATGCACATGGACACTAATGGAGTGGTGGTGATTGCAGATGAGTCGGACCCTGCAGAGAGCTTGGAGTCGCTCGTCTGAGGACATTCTTACGGGCACTTAATTTGTAAAAATCTGAGAACTTTTCTGAGGCCTTTTTTGCCAGACTATTGATTAAATGAATAACCTTATTACTTTTTATACTGATAAATGTTTTTTGATATTTATGTTTTTGCCCTTTATTTCTTGTCTTAAATGTTATCCTGCTGAGCGTTTGCACCTGTTTAAGTTGACGTGAGGAAAAAGCAGCTCTGTCCAGTTTGCACTATACTATCAGTGTTACTGCCTAAATCCAGCGAGTTAAATCCTGGCTACATGACGAAACTGGGATCTTTGGACCGCAATGAGACGAACCTGAAGCATGAAGACCAGGAGAGTTAAGGCGATCCACCTACAATAATGTCTCAAAGATGAACATCGCATCACAACGTAGCCCAGCATGCATTATGTCACTTTGTCACCTCGATCAAACTAACTGTTTTCAGGCTTCGCTCCACATGCGTGAAGCTCTTTATCACACGTGAAGAGACTCTTACCTGCCTAATATTCATATATTGTCCAAATATCTCACTGCTGTCTTGTATAATGTACTTATGGCTTATTTTGTTAAAGTGTGTTACAACATCTAATGTGAACATTTATTGCTTTTTACAGGGATTTATATTGTTATATTGTTTTGTAATATATATATATATATATTATATCCTTAATAGCCAGCCAATGTTGTTTTCTTTTTTCTTTGATTTTTTTTTTTTTTTTTCTGTTTTTTTTTTTAGTACTTTTGCCTACATGTATTTGTCCACTGGCCTTGGTGTAGATTCATATTTTTGGAGATTCTGTAGCTTATCATGAATTGCCTACACAGCTCCATGTTTTATTTTTCCGCTTTTCTAATCTCAGCTATCAAAGCTCAGCTGTTGTAACACATGTAATAAGTATCTGTATTGACACAATGCAGTGCCTACAAAAAGTATTCACCCCACACAAAGTTTTTCATGTTTTGTTTTGCAACATTGAATCACAGTGGATATGATTATGATATATTATTTATTTTTGACATTGATTTAAGAGGGGAAAAAAACAATGTCAAAGTGAAAAATGTCCACAAATGGATCGAAATTGAATACAAGTACAAAATTTATTGTGCAAGTGTTCACCACCTATGAGACGATAATTATTATAGGAACCTTTGGCAGAAATTACTACAACTATTACGATCTTTGTAGATCGGTCTGTATCAGCATTGTACATTTGGACACTGCATTTCTCTCTTTCTTCTGTCAAACTCTGTGACTGCGGCAGCAGCGCTCAACTCCTGCCATTAATTCTGGACTGGATTGAGGTCTGGACTCTTATTTTGTCACCCAAGACATTAAAATTGTTGTTTTTAAAAACACTACTGCATAGTTTTGGCTTCATATGTGTCTTGAAGGAAAATAAACTTGCAGTTCTCCCAGAGATTGCAGCAGGATTTTTTTTTTTTTTTTATACTATATTCTCTACCTTCACAAGCCTTGCGGAACCTGATGCAGAGGGACATCCTCACGAGGCTGCCTGGTTTTGATGGTGTGTTTTTTCTCATGTGAAGGGTTTGGTTAACACTCGACATGTTTTCCCTTGTGCTTTCATGTGAGCTTTTTCACTATTGACTTTATCGTGAACCTTCGACTGAGAAATGTCTCCTGCTATATCTCAGCCATGAAGTGCTGCAGTTCCTTCACCGAGCCCTCTGGCCTCTCAGTGGCCTCACTAGTGCTCTTTCTCTTTCTTTTGAGGATGACCTGCACTCATCAGATTTAAAGCTGTGCCATACTCTTTCTGTTCTTACGATCGTTTTAGGGATATTCAGTGCCTTGGAAATCATCTTTATTCCTCTCTTTATTGGTACTTTTCAGTAGACTTGTCACTGATTTGTTGGAATATTTATCTGCCTTCACATTGTGGTTTTGGGAAATTGGACTTCAAATCAGTTTTATGTTTTTTATTTCTACTCAGGTCATTGTTTTATAAATTTCCTTTGACTTTGAGAGTAATATTTTTATTATGATGTGCCAAAAACATCCCAAATTACATCCACTGTGATTCAAAATTGCTAATCATGCTAAAATGTGAAAAAGTCCAAATGGTATAGGGACTACTTTTTATAGGCAGTGTAGTTTCTTTTTTGGTGGCTTGATGCTTTATTTGTAACCAAAGATGTGGTTCCAGTTTGCAACATGTAAGTGGTTTTGTCCTGAGATCTATTTAATCAACTAGAATTTAAAATCAAAATTGTTAAATCTTGCAGTACATATTTCCAGTGTCAAAGGTGTGAATTTAACCAGATTTAAGCATGTTTCTGTTCTAGCCTCAGGAACTCACCTTACAGTAGATAATCAGAGTACACGATGCTTTCCTCACATTAGACAAAAAGATTTCAAATTCAGACTGTAAAATGGGGGCTGATATTCTGTCTCTGCACTATTTTGTGGCTATTAATTATAAGCCCTTTTCAACCCTGAACAGCCCTCTCTCCTGATTGATTTGTGTGTATCTTTATAGTGTGTATTCCATGATGAAAACTTTTTTTTTTTTTTTTTGTGCTGATAACAGCTACTTCTCTGCTAAAGGGGAGTTTACTAAATCAAGTGAAAACTCTCCAACATTTGGAGAAAAGTCCAGATTGCTTAACACTTAGCTCTGCAACAAAAGTTTTCTTTGCAGCAAGTAGTTATTTTTTATTTTATTTTATTTTTTTGGTATAAATGCCAGCGTCCTCTCCATTTGATATTTCTACACTCATTTAAAACACAAGTGCTGTTGCTTCAAAAACAAATGACTTTGACCTTAACCTTTGTGACCATAGACGTTTGTATTTTCATACAAAGATTTGAATTGTGTAGTGGCCCTGTGACGGATTGTACTTTATTCAAATCTCCACTGCTAAAACCCCCAAGATCCACACTCATACCTGCCCCTTTGAGAGGTCCATGCTGGTGTTTAGACCACGTTTTCATGATATTTGCTTAATGGTCCGGGGATGCAGTATGTTATCCTCAGTGGATTTCAGTCAGGGTGGTGGTAGAGTTTGATTTGTAACTTAAATAAATGATGAACTGGTTTTGTCCTTCATATCATGTTTATATGATAGTATCATAGTCATATATCCCTATGATACTGTGATATATCATATTATAGTGTCATAGTGTTATTTAATAGGTAAACTGTATTGCTATACGTTAAATAAAGTCTGGGTTTGGGTGCACAGCATCCTTGTATTACGTGCAACCACTGATGGATGTTTTTTTTTTTTTTTAAACTTAGTAACCACTGAACAACAGTGGTAGAGGGAATGTTCAGATGCTTTGCTGAAGTAAAAATATTATTGCCACACAGTAAAAATACTTAGTAGTATAGTATAGTATAAAGTAAGGGATAAAAATGTCAAAAAGAAACGTCATAGTATAACAAGGCTAAAAAACATTATAGTATAGTAAGGCATAAAAATTTGGAAAAAAAACATCATAGTACAGTAAGGCATAAGAATGTCAATAAACATCATAGCCATTGTATAGTAAGGCATAAAATTGTCATAGTATAGCAAGGCTAAAAAAAACATCATACATTAGTAAAGCATAAAACATCATGGTATAGTAAGGCTTGGAAAAACCTAAAAAAATGTCATAGTATAGTAAGGCATAAAAATGTCAAAAAACGCCATAGTATAGTAAGGCATTAAAACGCCATAGTATAGTAAGGCATAAAAATGTCAAAAAACGTCATAGTATAGTAAGACATTAAAACGCCATAAAATAGTAAGGCATAAAAATTTCAAAAAACGTCATAGTATAATGTGGCATTAAATGTCAAAAAACGTCATAGCATAGTGAAGCATTAAAACGCCATAGTATAGTAAGGCATAAAAATGTCAAAAAATGCCATAGTATAGTAAGGCATAAAAATGTCAAAAAATGCCATAGTATAGTAAGGCATTAAAACGCGATAGTATACAAAGGCATAAAAATGTCAAAAAATGCCATAGTATAGTAAGGCATAAAATGTCAAAAAACGCCATAGTATAGTGAGGCATTAAAACGCCATAGTATAGTAAGGCATAAAAATGTCAAAAAACCTCATAGTATAGTAAGGCATAAAATGTCAAAAAATGCCATAGTATAGTAAGGCATAAATATGTCAAAAAACATCATAGTATATTAGGGTATTAAAACGCCATAGTATAGTAAGGCATTAAATGTCAAAAAATGCCATATTATAGTAAGGCATAAAATGTCAAAAAATGCTATAGTATAGTAAGGCATAAATTGTCAAAAAATGCCATAGTATAGTAAGGCATAAATTGTCAAAAAATGCCATAGTATAGTAAGGCATAAATTGTCAAAAAATGCCATAGTATAGTAAGGCATAAATTGTCAAAAAATGCCATAGTATAGTAAGGCATAAATTGTCAAAAAATGCCATAGTATAGTAAGGCATAAATTGTCAAAAAATGCCATAGTATAGTAAGGCATAAATTGTCAAAAAATGCCATAGTATAGTAAGGCATAAATTGTCAAAAAATGCCATAGTATAGTAAGGCATAAATTGTCAAAAAATGCCATAGTATAGTAAGGCATAAATTGTCAAAAAATGCCATAGTATAGTAAGGCATAAATTGTCAAAAAATGCCATAGTATAGTAAGGCATAAATTGTCAAAAAATGCCATAGTATAGTAAGGCATAAATTGTCAAAAAATGCCATAGTATAGTAAGGCATAAATTGTCAAAAAATGCCATAGTATAGTAAGGCATAAATTGTCAAAAAATGCCATAGTATAGTAAGGCATAAATTGTCAAAAAATGCCATAGTATAGTAAGGCATAAAATGTCAAAAAACGTCATAGTATAGTATGGCATTAAAACGCCATAGTATAGTAAGGCATAAAATTTCAAAAAACACCATAGTATAGTAAGGCATAAATTGTCAAAAAATGCCATAGTATAGTAAGGCATAAAAATGTCAAAAGACGTCATAGTATAGTAAGGCATTAAAACGCCATAGTATAGAATGGCATAAAATGTCAAAAAACGTCATAGTATAGTAAGGCAGAAAAATTTCAAAAAACGTCATAGTATAGTATGGCATTAAATGTCAAAAAACGTCATAGTATAGTAAGGCATAAAATGTCAAAAAACGCCATAGTATATTAAGGCATTAAAACGTCATAGTATAGTATGACATTAAATGTCAAAAAACGTCATAGTATAGTAAGGCATAAATATGTCAAAAAACATCATAGTATATCAAGGCATTAAAACGCCACAGTATAGTAAGGCATAAAATGTCAAAAAAGGCCATAGTATAGTAAGGCATAAATATGTCAAAAAACATCATAGTATATTAACGCATTAAAACGCCACAGTATAGTAAGGCATAAAATGTCAAAAAA